GAACCACGGACGATGGAACATGGACGGAGTACAAAGTAGGACATCATTAATTCATCAGGGATAATGCCGGTGTCCTGACTGTGTGGGAAGACGTCCCGTTTTTGGGATCTCCCCAGGAAGGGCCGAGGAGCCGGCAGCTGAACGGAGCGGGTGTGGGGAGTGTGTTTTAAAAGCACATAACAATGACTCACGCTCCAAAACGTGAGTGCGGGATTCAGAGACGGTGACGTCCAGCATAGCTAACCCCTGAATGCGGACTGGTAGCTAGTTCAAGCCCAAATGCCATAGATGACTGTGACCTCGGTCACTGCCAAAGCATTCTCCTGCTCTCCCAGCATACCACGCGGACGCCAGTGCAGACAGCTCAGTACAACGTCAGAACATTCTCACAACTTCCTTAAAGGGTCAAAGACCTCGTGCCAATCTTAACCTTCTACGGCTCACTCGCACCTGTTTGCCCAGGTTCAACTCCCAGGTGATTTTCCAGCAAGGCCAAAGGATGGCGTTGGAAACCACAGCTGCTTATAAAAGGCAGGTTTGGTTGAGTGACAGTCCATTTCCTTCCTGCACGTTCCCCAGCCCTGCCGCAGGGGGCAGTCCTGGGGGCCACTCCAGGCCTCGGGGTCAGACGTGGCTGGCAGGAGCCCCTCCTGGCCTCGGAGGGAAGCCCAAGCCCAGGCAAGGAAGGAAACGATGCTCACAGGACCGCCTTCCTGGCTCTTCCAGGTTCCTCCGGCGGCCTGTGCAGGGCTCTCTGCACATGATGGCCCTGGCTTCTCGGGGCCCTCGACCTGGGAAGACGTCTAAACGAAGTCTGGCCGGAGGTCAGGCAATGGCTTTTGCGGTGCTTTCCAGATTACGGAGGTATGTTTACGTTTCTCGGCAGTCCCCTCAGTCCCCCTACAGGACGAGCCGCGGCACCCGGACGCCCATTTTACAGACAAGAAAATGGAGGTCCAGAGAGGCTCAGAGACTCCTCAAGACCACACAGCTGTCACAGGGCGGAGCTGGCTGGAAATCCGGCTCTCCCGCACGGATCTCGCCCCCGCACTGCGCGGAGTGTGTACCTGTCCTTGCGAGCTGCAGGATGGCCTCCGCGGGCCTGGGTAAGAAATCGTTCACCAAGGTTTTTTTTCAGCACAAGGGCAGTTCCAAGAAGTCAAACTTCTTCCTAATTACCTGTCCAGATGACCGTCTCTATCGCCCGATTCCTCACAAACAAGTGTGTCCACGGGGCAGTTTCATTTGGGTCCCTCCTTCACTCCCCATTCACGCAGCACGCAGGTGCCGACGCCCACCCGGTGCCACGCCTGTGCCGGCGCTGGGCACTCCGACATGCCTCCGTCCTTTGCCTGCCCTGGAGGGTGTCACGCCCCACTGAGGAGTCAGACAGGGGTTCAAGCAAGGGACTCAGGCTGCACGAACTTCCCTGGTGAGTCAGACAGGTTTCCTAGAGGTGACATTGAAGCTGGACTTTAAACAATGAGCAGGAAGGACGGTGACAGACTGAGTGGATGGAGGCCTTTTTAAGAATTCAAGCTGCATGAAACCTCTCTTCCGCCCCGGTGGGTGGGGCTCAGTGGGTTGAGTGCCGGCCTGCGAACTGAAAGGTCACCACCGGTTTGAGTCCGGGTCAGGGCACATGCCTGGGTTGTGGGCCTGGTCCCGGGTTGGGGAGTGCAAGAGGCAATTGATCCAGGTATCCCTCACATTGATGTTCCTTTTCCTTTCTTTCTCCCTCTCTCTCTAAAAGTAGAGAAGTAAATAAATCTTAAAACAAACAAACAAACAAACAAACCAACCCTGCTCTGGCTGGCATAGCTCAGTGGATTGAGCGCAGGCTGCGAACCAAAGCCTCACAGGTTCGATTCCCAGTCAGGGCACATGCCTGCGTTGCAGGCCATGGCCCCCAGCAACTGCACATTGATGTTTCTCTCTCTCTCTCTTTCTCCCTCCCTTCCCTCTCTAAAAATAAATAAATAAAATCTTAAAAAAAAAACCCCAAACCCTCTCTTTTCCCATCTCATGTGTGCCAGGGATCTACCCTGGCCTTATTATTCCTAGAGAGTGCTTACTTATGTCCCCAAATTCCTCCCACATCTCTGCAGCCCGAAACGGTCTGAAAGGCCTTGTGGACGAGCGGCATGTTACCGCAGCTGAACCACATCTGTTTCTAATCAGTCAAGGTTAATAACGAATGGTCCCCAGCTCTACCAAGCGGTGCCCGCAATTGGCCAGCCACGGCAAACATTCCAAGCAAGCATGTATTTGCTTTGAAACCAAATACCTCCCAGGCTCGTGTGTGGACCGGGCCCTCAGCGGTCTCCTCCGCCTAATATTTAACACGACCGTAGGTTCCCCAAGCAGGAAGGGCACCATCCTAGACTATGGGCCTGCAGGACACACACATCTTACACAGTCATCTGCAAGAAAATCATTCTTATAGTCTAAGACTCCAAAAATCCATGTCATAGGAATTGCTCTTGCCTGAGAGGAGTATCATAAATAATTGCTCCAGTTTTGAATCACTTTCAGTCTCAGAAGGCATGTCTGAAGTGTTTCTTGGGAATTTAGGAAATGGATTCTGAGCTAAGAAAAGTCGACATGTCTCTAGATTGGAAAAAAAAAATCAGTGTCAACGCAAAACTAACTCTAAGTACCTAATTTCATTTGAAAATGAGATACAAGTTACCGCAGTGAAATTAGCACCATCCACAAAGCTGGTCTTCCATCGGCTACAAATCTGAAGAACTGAAGTGTGGTGGGGAGAGAGGCCCAGGGGATGAGGAGTGTTTCCAGAGCTTCCTCTGGGCGGGGCGGGCATGGAAGAACTCACGTAGCCAATGGCCTGCCGGTTCTGAAGTCTTTCATTATACAAACACGTTGCAGAGAAGTTAGAAAGTGCAAATAAATGAAGGATGAAATAAACACCGCCCACACTGCCGTGACCCAGGGACAACCCTACCCTCACCTTGGTGAACATCCTTCCAGACTGTTTTTTAACAAGAGCAAAATTACATAAAATTTTCACCAACAAAAACCGGACAACTTACATACTGTTTGGAAACCTGGATTTTTTTTTTTTAAGATTTTATGTATTTACCTTTTCAGAGAGAGGGGAAGGGAGAGAGAAAGAAAGGGAAACACCAACATGCAAGAGATAACAAGGTTACCTTTGCTTGGCCCACAACCCAGACATGTGCCCTGGCCGGGAATTGAACCAGCAACCCCCTGGTTCACAGGCCAGTGCTCAATCCACTGAGCCACACCAGCCAGGGTGGAGACCTGGCTTTCTTCACTTGGTATCTAGCCACCATCCCTGCATGGCAAGAAACCATTCTGACTCAGTGTCTTTGTGGCTGAAGACTACTGCTTCTGTGGACGCACCAAAACGTAGCCGTTCTATCATTAGCACTCGTTTCCGGTGTTTTGCTATCAGCACGATGCTGTCGTGAGCTTTTTTTTTTTTAAGATTTATTCATTTTTAGAGAGGGAAGGGAGGGAGAAAGAGAGAGAGAGAGAGAGAGAGAGAGGGAGAGAAACATCAATGTGCGGTTGCTGGGGGCCATGGCCTGCAACCCAGGCATGTACCCTGACTGGGAATCGAACCTGCGATGCTTTAGTTCGCAGCCCACGCTCCATCCACTGAGCCACGCCAGCCAGGGTGTGAGCTTTTGTTTGCTGAGCCTGCACAAAAGAAGGCCACTTCCACACACCATAGGCTGGGCCATGGGTAGCATGTGGCCCTCAAGAGGACACTGCCCTGCGGACGTGCCGAGGGCCCCCTGCTGAAGGCTGCCCCTTCTCCGGTCTCTGGGGATGAGAGCCGGCGATCGGAATGTGCTCTCTGTCCCGACTCTCCGCCTTATTCAGGAATCATGAAGATCGCCATGAAAAGGGAGACACGGTTAAGCTGGATCCCAGGACCTTCCCCCAGTTTTTTGTCCTCAGGTTGAGAAGTCAGCGTTCTCCGGGATTTGCGAGCACCGCCCTCGCAGAGCCCGCGGCCTCTGGGCTCCCTGTCTTGCAGCACTGAGGTTTCGTGTGGGGAGGGACGAAGCAGAGCCTTGAACAAGAGTCTTGGAGACCTTTGAGTAACTGAAATGAAACCTTCAGTCAAGGCAAACCAGACCCGGAACTCGGCTAATAACAGTGACTTCTATTGTATTTTCATTGTACGTCCCCTGAGACTTTACCTCCGGAAAGTACAGATTCACAAGACGGTCAATGTAAATCTTTATATTAGAGCAGTTATTGTCACTGCCCCCTCTCCCTCCCCCCAACACCCTCACCCCCCGACACACACACACTGTGCCTGGGATTTAAAAATATTTATCCCTAGGGTCTGAATGTTTGGGGATGAGATTGCCTTCTTTTATGTTTTGCTGCTTCTCCAAAAGAGTTAATTACAACATGGAATTATACATTTCCGGACTCCTAAGTTAAAAGAATCTAGTCTTCTCTTCTCCAGTTAGCGATGTTGAGTAATCTTAAAAGGCTACAATCCATATCTAATCACCTTGGATTTTGGCACAGATACATCCCTCCCCTGGAACGGGCCCCACAGACCCCGAGGGGGGGGTCCACATTAGCCAGCGGAGCCTCGCTCTCAGGCTGAGTTCCCGAGACGCTCAGCGCCGCACCCCATACCACCTCGATCGTCCCGCAATCCAGGCTGAGCAGTCTCTTCAAACCAGGTCAGTTCCTATGTGAAAGGTGCCTTTTTGGAACTTAATAAAATTCAGTTTTATTCTCTACTGATACCCAGTTCTCTTGGTAACTTGATACTAAACACATTCTCCTTGAAATCAACAGACACATTTTAGTAAGTCGTGTTCTTGGATTTTGGTTGAAACCAGTCTCACAGAATAAAGGAGAAGTCCAGGTGGAGATGTGTTTTTATGCCCTTTCAAAAACGATTACGTTTACCGAGAACTGCCAGAATGAGTCAACTGAGGCAAGGCCTTGTCGGGTGCTGAAACAGACATGAAAAACGAGGGTACCATGATTAAATAAGCTTTTATTGTCACATTTAACTGCTTCGTCAGATATACATTGTAGACTTCAGTATGGCATAAAACAAAAATATATTCCTGAATGTCAAAGTGGGGACGGGGGAGATGGCAATGGCACTTCACAGAAAACCAAACTCGCACTGGTGTGGAAGCCCTAGGAGGCGCTGAGGAAACGGGGCGCGTTTGCAGACAAGGGGTCTGCGGCGTTTGCGATCGGACGGCAGTGGTTTGAGGCCAGTGGAGCGGGAGACCAGAAAACACAGACCCCGCCGAGCGGACATCGAACGAACGGCAGTTTCGGGGTTCCGCTTTCAGTCCGTGCGGTCTGGTTTCGCGCTGGGCCTGGCTCAGGGGGGAAACCTCTCTTGTACAGAATGAAACTACTCTTTCAGAACCTGGACTGCGGGCCTCTCTGACGACTTCCCTATTTCCCCAGGTTTTCACTAGTCCGGAGGAAAGGCAATTACGTTCCAAAGCATCCGCTTCGTGGGCTGACCTCGCCGTAAACGGTGGGTCTCGTCGTCCCCGAACCAGGAGCCTGAGATGCTCATGAACGTCTACAGCGGTTTCACACGTTCTGGGCAAACGAGGAGACGAGCACTCATTAAATAAAAACGCAGTGCATCCCGACGGGAAGTCTCAACACATTCCACAATTACCCTCCCAAGGGCCGCTTAAAAACAAGCATGGTTATTCAGACTTAAAACGGATATTCGTTCACCGACATTCTCAGACAGCCTATGGAACGTCCTTCCTCCACAAACAAAACGAACACCAGGATTTGTCAGAAGGTCTAAGTGAGTTGTACCCCTTACGTAGGAACTCAGCTAAACCCGCTGCGTCTGGAGTCTGTGTGTCACACACCTCAGGCCGGGGACGCCACCCCTTTCTGGGACCTGCTGCTGAGCGCCCCTTGCTTAGGACTCCGGCATGGAGACCGGAGGTGGGGCTGGTGCAACACAGCAGTCAGCGTGATTCCGCCAAAGAAAAATCAGTGATTTATTTTATGACATACTTGTTTGGATGATTACTTACTGGTAGTTAGTATTTCTACATGTTTTCGAAGGCAACCATTTTAAGTGACAACACGCATCAGGCTAGTAGAAAAGTGGAAACAAAGCCGTCTCTGTCGGCCTCAGAGTCACGCAGACAAGAGAAGCGACATCCGGTGTGTTCCAACCAGGCTCCTTAGGACGGTCAAAACTTCTTTTCCGGCAAAGATGAATTTGGCTCATCATAGAAAGAAGGGTCTTTGAAGGCTGCTGCTAAACTCATTTCCCTTTGAAAAAGTAAATTTCAAGGCATGATAGTGCAAGAGGTAAGTTTTTGATTTATAGAACAATTATAGACTAATTGTGCTTAGTCTCTAATTACCAATTTATTGTCAAGAACAGAAACTACGCTGATCAGTTTCTCTTTGCCTAAATTTACCAGGACGTCCGTGAATCGCACCAGAATTGGGACAATCTGATTATCTCAATGACTCTGCCGTGACACCGACGCGACGGCGACGGCGACGGCGACGGCGCCCGCGGGCGAGGCCCCCCCGGGCGAGGCCCCTCCCGGCTCGGCGCCCGCCCGGGGCTCTCTGGGAGCCCGGGGGCCTGAGAAAGCAGTTCCCCTCCAGACCGAGTCCTGGAAAAGCCTCTCTGAGTGGGCGACGAAGACAACAGTGCCAAGGGGGGCGCGTCTTCCGGGCGGCTAAATCTGGGACGTCTGAGGGTTCCTGGAGCCCCCGTCGGGATGTGTCATGGGCCGAGAATCCCTCGCGTGGGGGCATTCGCTGTTCGAGGGCTCCGTCGGGTCGATCAAATTCTCGTAGTCGCTGTCGTCCGACTCCTCCGCACTGTCTCCGGCCGCCCCCTGGGGAGGAGGGGGGTCCGCTCCAGCCCCCGAGTGCTTCAGTCCGGCGCTGCTGGGCGCGTAGCTGGAGGAGCCCACGGCTTGAGGTCGAGGCATAAAGACGCTGGTCTCCACGCGAGAATGGCTCAGAGTACTTTCTTGATTGCTTGGGTGGAGATCGGAGTAGGGGGGAGGGGGACCCGCGGCCTCCGCGTCTGCCAGCGCACCTCTGCCTTCCGTGGCAGGCCCCGCGCAGGGCGACCGCGGGCTGAGCGCGGGCTCCGGGCTCTCGGCCGGCACCTGCCTGTTCATCACCGCCTGCTGCAGTCCTGCGGGAGAAGAGGAGGAAAACTGTTACACAGGCCATCGCTCCCCAGCTGTGCACCTCAACGCCCTGACCTGAATGTTCCGGAAAACAGCAACAAAGCAGCGACACCGATTATTACTGCTGTTTTACATTCGCACAACACTTCGTAATTTACCAAGTATTTCTCGACATGTTAATTCACTTAAGCTTCAAAATATCAATACTATCATCAGTACTGATGCTATTGTTTCCATTACAAAGGCAAAAAACTAGCGTGTGAAAAGAGTAAGTGACCCCACGAAGGGACCAGCTAGAGAGGGCCTGGCCCTTCGAGCACCGGTTCTCTTAAGGCCGGCCCCATCCCCCGCCTGCTGCTGCCGTGACCAGACTCTGCGGACAGAGGATGAAGAAAACAGTCCTCGCCACCCTTGGCAGTCGCTGGGACGAGTGTTTTCCTTGAGAAGCCTTGTGTCGAAAACACTTCTTTACAACCACCTGTCACTACACCTGCTCAGCCCGCTTTCCCCTTGAACGCTGAACGGCCCTGTCAGGTGACCAGTTTTTCCGAGTACTATGCCACAACTGTACCGCATTTTTATGGATGCTCTGAAAGCCCCCTATCTGAGTCTGCAACCTTTTAAGTTTTTTAAAGCATATTTTTAAAAAGATTCTATTTAGCCCTAGGTGGTGTGGCTCAGTGGACTGAGCACCGGCCCACAGACCAAAGGCTGCCTGTTGGATTCCCAGTTGGGGCACACGCCTGGGTTGTGGGCTGGTCCCCAGTTGGGGGTGTGAAAGAGGCAACTGATAGCTGTTTCTCTCCCACGTCATGTTTCTCTCCTTCGTTTGCCCCTCTCTCTAAAAATAGAAAAAATTCTTTTAAAAAAGATTTAAAAGCTTTTAAAATCTTTAATCTTTAAAGATTTTGTTTTTTTAGAGAGAGGGAAAGGGCAGGAGAAAGAAAGGGAAAGAAACATCGATTGGTTGCCTCCTGCACGCACCCCAAGCTCAGGCAGAACCCACAACCCAGGCGTGTGCCCCGACCAGGAACCCAAATGGCGACCTTTCACTCTGTGGCACATGCCCAACCAACGGCGCCACACCAGTTGGGGCTAAAGTGCATTTCTAATGTAAAAATGTTACATACTTCTGCAAAATTTAGAAAAGAACAAAGAAAAATTGCCTACCATTCTATCACCCAGATAATACTTAGGATTTTGGTAAAAAGATCACAAGATTCGGGGTTAGAAATGTAAACTTCAGGTGCAAGGCCCCATTTACCTCTCGAACTCCACTTTTATCGTCCAGCCCGTGCGTGTTTTGCATATGCATGTGTACTTCAAACACAGCCACGATGTTTATGCCATTTTATATCCTAGTATTCTTGCTGAAGAGTATATATTGTCATTGAAAATTCACTTCAATTGCTGTACAGTACTCCACCATACCAACATTTATTCAACCATAACACTACCATTGTTAGTTCAACTATTTTAATAGGCTGTTTCCCAGATTTTAGAATTATAAAGTTGTGATTAACATTCTGGGGCATGAATCCCTACCTGCGCTTCTGATGATTTCTAGAGAACTGTGACAGTAGAAATGAACCAGTCATCACTTATTTAAAAATATAAATTATATTTTAACTGGTTTGCAAATATTACATTTTTAAAGATTTTATATCTGTTAGAGCAAGGGGAGGAGACAGGGAAAGAGAGGGAGAGAAACATCGATCGGTTCCCTCCCTCACGCCCCCCGTCTGGGCCAAACCCGCAGCCCAGGCACGTGCCCTGACTGGGAATCACACCAGCGACCTTTCGCTTTGCGGACAATGCCCAACCAACGGAGCCACACGGGCCAGGGCGGTTTGCGAATATTCCTATTAAATCACAAATGGTTAACTACATCCTTCTCTCTTTTACACTTGATATTATTTGTCATATGTTTGATAAATTTTACTTACAAATATTACATCTGGTGGCATCATAGCAAACGTGCCTGTTACTGAGCTGGAATTAATAGATTCTTGAGCCTAATTCTCATTCAACCAGCTGGTTCTTTAGCTTAACGGTACCCACCACCCATGGCTACCAGTGAACAGACATTTAAAGCCCTTGCCATGACGCTGCCTAGGAACCGAACATGAAGTTAACAGAGTTTGCAGCGGGGCCTTTAAGCGGCCGCAGCCCCTGCTGGGCGGGCCGGGGCCGCTGGCGGGGAACGTCACCCCACCGCGCACAGGTCGCAGGGGCCAACATGCGCACGAGTCCTCACCAGTCACTTCCCAGGGCGCTGAGACACCTACCACTTCCCTTCTGAAAAGGCTTGAAGGAAAGTGGACGCCGCTCCCAAAGGGCCTGACTTGGGGCTTGATGAGTGTAGAAGGATTTATGTAATTCGTCGTATAATTTGATGTTTAAAACCAGACACTCCCTTCTTACTGAATGGTAAATTAATAGGAAACTCACTTCTTTCTTGTTCCTTTTCGTTCTTCCTCTGAGTTACTTGTCTTCTTAATTTGCTCACTTCCGCTTGGTAAGATTCGACGACCCGCTCACTCTTTTCCACATCTGCGCACACTGCCTGGGGGAGCGACGACAAGAACGACCCACTGAAATGCACTCGAGAGGCCTCCCGCATGTGCAGCGTGCACTGCAGACCCGGGAGGGGCCCAGGTGCCTCGTCCAGGCGCAAAGCAGGTGCGTCCGACAGGACACCCCCCCGAGGTCCCAGAGACCAGCACTCTGCTCATGCACAGACTTGCTTTCTCAGTGTTAAGATGACTATGCTGTTAGTGCACAAATTCTTGAAAAACAAGGGTAAGTGGGAAAGATATGTATTTTTCCTGGATTTTTATTGAAAATGGGAAGCCAACGTTTGATACTAGTCTAGCATACAAAGGACACAAAAAAGGTAAGACAGGAATTAGATGCTTTCAACTTTTATGTATAACCAACAATCACAAATCAGATAACATTAAAAAAAATTTAACAAGAAATATTTATAATTAGGGAGAGCTGAAAAAGAAAGTATCATAATCAAGATTTATTTACTTATTTATTTTAAAGATTTTATTCATTTTTAGAAAGGAAAAGGGTGGGAGAAAGAGGGAGAGAAACATCAATGTGTGGTTGCCTCTCATGCGCCCCCTACTAGAGACCTGGCCTGCAACCCAGGCATGTGCCCTGACTGGGAGTCAAACTGGCGACCTTTTGGTTCACAGCCCGCACTCAATCCACTGAGCTACACCAGCCAGGGCTCACAGTCAATATTTAATGAATGCCCTGGCCTGGTAGCTCAGTTAGTTAGAGCATCATTCCCAATACACCAAGGTTGTGGGTTCAATCCCCAGTCCGAGCACATACAAGAATCAACCAATGGCTCTGGCTGGTGTGGCTCAGTGGGTTGAGCGACAGCCTGCAAACCGGAAGGTCACTGGTTTGATTCCCAGTCAGGGCACGTGCCTGCGTGGCCGGCCAGGTCCCTCGCTCGGGGTGTGTGAGAGGCAACCATGTACCTCTCACACACTGATGTTGTTCTCCCTCTCTTTCTCCCTCCCTTCCCCTCTTTCTAAAAAGTAAATAAATAATCTGGAAAAAAAAATCAACCAATGAATGCATACGAAGCGGATCAATAATTCGATGTTTCTCTTCTTTCCTCTCTTGCTCTAAAATCAATCAATAAAAAAATATTTAAGAAAAAGATTTAATGAAAGACAACTACTTGAGATTACGTCTACGTAATTTAACCATTCACGCCAGCGCACGCTACGTGGTACTGGTGTTTCCAGAGCAGGCCTCACGCAAGCGGCAATGAACTGTGTCCCAGCAACCCCGAAGTCCGCTGGAGGGTGCCGAGTCTGAAGGCCGCGCGGCCAGCAGTTCAGGACAGAAGGCTGCTTCTCACTGCCCGCCCCTTCCACAGTAGACATACCAGACACTGTGGAAAGGGGGCCGGTCCCCGGTGAGCCGGTGAGAGGCTCCCTGCACTGCCAGGTGTGCCTCACGCCGACGTGGGACACGGGCCCTGGACCCTGGGCCCTGCCTGGGGGGTGCTCTCTTCCTGGGCCCGGGCTGGTCTCAGCCCACCCCCTCCTCCTGCTCCTCCTCCTCCTCGGTGGCGGCCTTCTGCCCCAGAGGGAGGCCTTCTCCAGGCCTGGGAGGGCTTCTTCGGCTGCACCCCCTTCCTCCTGGTCCCCAAAGCCTCTTTTGTTCTTCAGGTTTTGGAGAAAATGACCCCTGAGACAGCATCGGTGGCTAGAGCACTCGGGAAAGTACGGTCAGCACCTAGCTCAGTGTCTGGCTTGCGGGAGCTGTTTCCACAAACACGTGTTGCATGAACGAGCAGGGAGGAACAGCTCTGCCGCGGTCCTCCCGCTCGATGGAGGCGCCGGGGCGAAGCGAGTGCACGCGAGGGGAGGAGGCCACGCTGCCCCGGGTCGGGGGCGGTCCCTGCTCAGTTACGGCTGCCGAGAGCCGTGTTCTCAGCAATCGATCGTGCTGCAAACTCGGGCACATTTCCCCGGAAGCAACGCTGTCACAGCTGGGTCACGGGGCTGAAAACAGTAACACTGCCACCGTTCCCCAGAGTGCCCACCGCGGGCACAGACGGGGAGACAGGCCTCCGCAGGCCGGCACAGCGCCCGCTGGACGCGTCCCACACCACTCTGAGGGCGGGCGTCCTCATGTGCTGGCCGTGGTTCCTCTGTCAGGCGGGAGTGTCCGAGATTAAAGGTGAAAAGCATTTGGGCAACACAAGTAAGATGAAAACTAGGAAGGGAGTCAGTTACCTGCACTTTCTCCTGGAGCGCGTTGTAGACCTGATAAATCGCCCTGATGTCTTTCATCACCCCGTCCTTGTCAAAGAAGTCCGTACTGGAAGACAGACAGAAGAAAGACGTCACAGGAGTTCCCACAACTGCTACGGGCCTGGGAGGTGTCTTCCTATCCCTTCCACCTTCATCCAGCCCCTAAATGCTGCCTCTGCAAGGTGACAGTGTACCAGAAATAACATCCACACAACCAGAATTATGAAAGAGAAATATAAAATAACCCACGTGACCAATGCAATTTAAAAAATAATAAAAAGCTATCAATTTTTTAGTGACCACGGTTAGCTTTCAGGATCTCAGAATTATACATTTTCTAGACAAACATAATTACAAAAAAAAATGTGGCAAATGATTAAAAAAAGTAATGGTAAAAGTAAACAATCTTTCAATAAGAAAAACATTTTGATACATAGTGGCGATGGTAGAGAATTGCCTCACCACACTGTTCAATTTTAATCATATCAAGCTTGATTTCACGTTTCTCCATAAACCTTTTACATCAAACAAAAGAAAAGAAAGAGCTTTCGGTTTACCTTGCCACTTACCCGTGTTCTTTAATAACTTTGGCATAACTCTGAGAAGTATTTGGCACTGAGGACACTTTGTACTCCTGCTGGCTGGTGTTGCCGAGGTTGGGAATAGCCAGGGATATCCTCTGATTATACCTGCAGGCAGAGGCAAGGGGCACCCCGTCAACAGCGCCGCTCCGACTGGAGCATGGGTCACGGCAGTGGAGTCCGAGTCTCTGGCCTGGGGAGCTATGGGAAGGCCTCGCCACGGACCTGCTTCCAGACAACCCAAGGATGCACCCGTTAGCGATGTCTGTCCTTCCCTTAAAGCAGACACTTGACTGCCAACTCCTTGAGGGCAAAGGGCATTCTTATGCATCCTCTGCATCCCCGCAGAAACAGAGTGCTGAGGAGGTTGTCTCTTCTCGAGAAATACTACTAACATGTTAATATAATCTTGCAAGTGGCTATTTAACGATTAATAATTATTTTCGCTTATGCCAATTTAATTTATTCTACTACAAACGAATTTCCAGATTGAAACCTTTCTGTTGTTTACAACAGACATCGTGATCTACAGGATCTTTTTTTTTTATATCAAGTTCACAATGCAAAACCCTCGTTAACCAGCAGGTGGATCAGTCTTACAATTCTGTCTTTAAAATCTATGCTTTGAAATTGCAGTCAGACTTCCGGGCGATCAAACTGTATTTCTACGTAATGGATCATGGAGAAGCAGATGATGATTTCCAGCTGTTCATTCCTATGAGGACTGACGTGTCATTAACACACCTTGCTAATGCTTCTTGACTCAAAAACAACTTTAATTTATACAGCTAACTGACAGGAAAATACCTTCTCTAACTACAGAGAACACTGGCTAAGCGAAAGTTACAGGAGCTTTTCTTTAGAGATGCTACCAAATGCCCATTTTCAAAGTCATAAATCTCGATGACTGGTATCAACACCCTTCCGGTCTGTGCAAGGCCCGCGAGCGCGGGAACGCTGTCTTTACCTCCGATTTGGTCTGAAGAGCACGTATTCTAAAGCGTGAGTGGAGTTGTTGGCGGTGGAGATGAAGCTGAAGAGCAGGAAGACGAGGTCGGGCACCCCGAGGATGCGGGTGAGCTGCTTGTGCAGGACCTGCTCCCTGTAGGACATCTGCTGCTGCGTGTTCCGCCGGAACCTGTACCACCCGATGACCTTCTGCAACGGGAGCGGAGGGAAAAGCCTCACAAATTTAGCTCTGAATGCATCCACACAAGCACTGGCACACAACGTGAACGGCTCCGCGTGCAACCGGTCAACGTGGAGAGCAACCCAACTGCCCACCACGGGGTAAACGAACGGGTGCAGCCACACACGGGACACCCAGTCAGCAGTGAAAACAAACTACTGATACACACGAAACAGACGAATCCCAAAATACTGATGCTGAGCGAGAGAAGCCAGACCCGGACAAAAACGTGTGCTCCAGGATTCCATTCACGTAACACTCCAGAGCACGCAGACCCATCTACAGCGACACGACCCTGACCCGGCGGAGCAGTGGCTGACTGGGGGGGGTTGGGGTGTGAGAGGAGGGGTCGGAGAGGGGCCCGAGGAGGCTGCGGTGGTGGACATGGGCGTTAGCCTATGATGATGATGATGGTGGTTTCATGGGCGTACACACAAATCAAAACTTATCAAAGTGTATACTGTAAGTATATGTACTTTATTTTATAGCAATTATACCTCAACACAATGACAGACTGACAGACTTAGCTCTGTCGGTTCTAACTACAGGTTAACGAAGCTGGTTAAGTGAATTTAACTGATATGCTCTTGGGAACAATCGTTCTGCTAATGTGACCTGCTGAACATCTGGAGGAGAGACGACCTGTGAGACTTCTGGGAGCTTGCTAAAATGTTCCTGGGCCCCCCCGAACCTGCAGAATCAGAACCTTTATGGGCAGAGCCAGGAATCTGAATTTAAGATATGTTCCTTGAGTTTTTTCTTGTGAATACTAAAGTTTGAAAATCACTGTTGTAGAGACAATAATCAATTCTTTATTAGAAGAATCCTCACATAGCTTCTGTCTTTAAAATATACTCTTTGAGTGAAAAAACATGTTTTGAGATATAAAAGTAGTTTAAAATTGTGTAATGTTGCCCTGGCTGGAGTAGCTCAGTGGGCTGAGTGCGGGCCTGAGAACCGAAGGGTCACCAGTTCGCTTCCCAGTCAGGGCACAGGCCTGGGTTGTGGGCCAGGTCCCCATTAGGGGGCGAGAGAGAGGCAACCACACACTGACGACAGACAACTTCTCTTTCTCCTTCCCTTCCCCTCGGTCTAAAAATAAATAAATAAAATCTTTAAAAAGTTGCGTCACGTGAAAACCCACAGTAAACCTAGATCGCATTTGGGCCCTTCCAGTCAGAAGGAAGCGAACCCACCTCGGCTGAGTCCCTCTGCCGGAGCCCCGGCTAACAATGTTCCAAATGTTTTCACGAGTTATCGTAACCACCTGGGAGGTTTGCGATGTTTTCTTCACTGAGCGCATATCGCTGCAAGGAACTACAGGGAATAAATAGTGCCTGCCCTCAAGGAGAACAACTGAGCATAAAGGGTGACTTTAAATTATATTAAAGCAATTAATTTGGATATTCTTTAAATGAAAAGAAAACCCAAACATTTCTGGCAGCATATGAGGTCTGTCCAGAAAAAGTCCAGCAATTGTTAATATGATGAGAACAGTTTGGGTGACATTGATGTAACCTGGCAGCCAAGGAGAGTGGACTGGAATGCGCATGTGTGAACAATGACAACTTCACAGCACTAGTCAGTGGGGGCGGTAGACGCTGTTGAGTGAGCGTGTGTACTGTGTAGCCATCACATTCAAAATGACTGAGCAATGCGCTGGCTAGTGTGGCTCAGTGGATTCAGCACTGGCATGGGAACCAAAGGGTCGCTGGTTCAATTCCCAGTCAGGGCACATGTCTGGGTTGCAAACCAAGTCCCCAGGAGGGGGTGCAAGAGAGGTAACCACACATTCCTGTTTCTCTCCCTCTTTTCTTCCCTCTCTTCCCCTCTGTCTTAAAATAAAATCTTTTAAAAAAATGACTGAATAGAGCAGCGAATTAACTCATTACATGTTTATTCTACTCTTAAAATTTTTCAATTAAATATTAGATTTGAAGTCTGCCTAGTGGTGGTAATTTTTTAAAAGTTCCCATCATTTTCTTAAAAAGTGGACAGTAATTAAAACATGTTCTCCATGTCCGGCACTGTTTCTGGTACCTGTGTGTTTTTAAGCCTAACGTCTCCAGTGCACCTCTTCAGGTAGCACGATAGCCCTTGTGAGCTGAAGACACAATTTCACCTTTCCTGGGGGCTCAAAATGTAAACCAGAATTAACTAGAAAGCTTTTTAGTCACCTAAATATTATACATCATCTTTGCTTTTATGGTAGAAATGTGGATTTTGGAAAAAATCCTTGAAGAGTTTATATTAAACATAAGGTACCACAAAAAATGCAATGACATATAAAGTATAGTTTTTGCCCTTAACAAATATCATGAAAAATTTAAAAAAAAACATTTGGTTTAGCACAAAGTTCTAGAAAATTAAAACCACAGATTGACTTTTAACTTTTTTGAGAATCCTGGCCTTACGAAAAGCAAAGTTAATTCCACAAAACAACCTACCTTTGGTCTACTGAGTCTCAAAACAGCAAATCCAATTTTAAATTCCCCGAGTCAATTTGGAAATGTGTCCACGTCCACCACTAAAAAACCTACGTAGTATTTTACAAAGCACTTTCTAAAAATGCCATTTAAAAAGTTTTTTTTTCAATTTCAGTGGGCATTCAATATCACACTGGTTTCAGGTGGACAGCCCAGGGGTCAGACATCTACACGACTTACGTGTGACCACCCCCACCCAGTATCCGTTTGTAAAATACATTTTTAAAAAGTCAAATAAAGTCTCCCTTCATCAGCAGCCCTTTTCCAAAGTAACTACTTTTAAGTTTGGTTGGCTTGCTTCCAGATCTTTCTCTGGACATTCAGACTTGTTTTAAATAGGCCCAAATTATATTACTTCCTTGTCCATGTAACATTAACCTGGAGACCTCTGGGTCATTACCTGAGAACCTGCTTCATTCTAACAGCTGCTTCATGACCCACTGCACGGAGGGACCAACCGCACTTATGTAATCATTCCCCACCGGCGGACATTCAGATTGGTTTCGAAATTCCCACGGTCACAAAGATGCAGCCAACACCCTTACGCACCGGGTCAAGAGGCCGGGCTGCTGGGTGTGAGCCTTGGCCCCACGGCCACTCACTGGGGACCATAACCAACTTACTTAACCTTTGTTGCCTCAGCCTGGAAAGCGGATGAGAGCAGCAGCGATGCACCTCACAGGGCTGCTGCGAGGATGAACTGCGTCACCATGGGGCGGGGGGGGTGCTCAGAGCACGGCCCGGCACAGAGTTCAAGTGGCCTGTAATGCCAGTTTTTCACATCTTTGCGCCTGGATGCTGTAATTTACTTGGACTAGATTCCTAGAGGTGACCCTGCGTATCTGAAATCCTGTTGCTGCTGCAACACCCTCCTCCTAAACGTCTGCACCGGCTTCCATCCCCACCCACCGCAGCGCCCCCGTTCCCCACAGCCTTGCCAGCACCCACTATTAGCAATCCTTTCACGCGCTGCCAATCTGATAGGCAAACGGAGTGTCACGTTGCTTCCATTTGTGTTTCCTGACGGAGGTCAGACGTCTTTTCATTTATTTCTGGCCATTGTGGATTGCCTTTTGCTTTTTGTGAATTTCCTTCTGATAATCTTTATTCATTTTTCTCACTTGAGGTTTTTTCATCTATTAAAGAAAACTTCCTAGATCTTTTAAAATAATGTATTGATTTTAGAGGTGGGGGAGGAAGGGAGGGATGCAGGGAGAGGGAGAGAAAGAAACATCGATGTGTTGCTCCATTTACTGACGCATCCACTGGCTGACTGACCCCCGTGTGCGCCCTGATCGGGGATCGAACCCACAACCTTGGAGCACAGTGACGACGCTGTGACCAATGGTGCTTCTCTCCCCTGGCCAGGGCTCTTCCTGCAACTTTTACTAGATGGTGAGCGCTATAGAAAACTGGGCTCCAATAAGAATTCTCAGGGAACAAATTTTAGCTTTAGAAAGTGCAATAAAGATTCATTTTCTAAAGCAGGAAAATACATGGCAGGAGGAGGCGAGGCGGTGGGTGAGGGAGGAGGACAGATTGCAAGAGACCCCAGGACGCAGGGTCCTGGGCAAGTCCTTGAAAACCGCAGAGCAGGACCACGACGCCCGCAGCGGCTCCAACTCCCTTTCCCAGGTGGGTGGGTGACCAGCTCAGACTCTGCAGAGGCCGAGCACCCCCTGAGCCTGCTGTCACCCACAAAGCCCTGTGTCCTCTCTTCTGACTTGTCCCCTGCCCTCTGCATTCTTCCTCTGATCTCACCTGCTTCTCCCTCCCTCCACCCGACGGGGGCACAGAGACCATGCTGGCCTCCGCACTGCTCTGGCCCCTGCGCCCTTCTCAGACGTGGTAGGGCCACGCCCCCACTGCCAGGATTGTTGTCATCCACAGGTATCGCCTCAAAAGCTCTTTTTGGTGATATGTGCTTCTAAGCAAAGGCATTCTGCTTTGTTTGATGAGTTGAAAACTTTTATTGGTATTTTTTTTTCCTCCAGAGATGGTTTAATAACCAATTAAACCAATCTCTTTTTCTGGAATTTACATACCAAGGTAAAAATTATAAAGTTAATGTACACGTTATTAAATATTTACTAAATTATTTTTTAATTATAAGTAGAAAGACAAAACTACCCAGACTCAATTCAACTACTGTCAATTTTCAGATTATAGTTCATTTCTTCTTCTGATCTTTACATAATGGAATCATACTATAAATATCTAAACTTTTTTCTATTGATATATCATAAACATTGTTTCACATCTGTAATTTATCTTTAAAATTTACTCAATGTAACAGAACTCTCATATATTACCATCAAGTTGCATTGTTCATTTACATTCCTTTCTGGTTTTAAGCTTTGCATGATGAGATAAGGACTGATTTCCAAATCAGGATGGGCAACAAAAGTAACAACATACCTTTCTCCGGTCTTTGAGAATCCTGTCCAAACTCTCTTCATTAACTTTGCTTGCATAGTCATAAAAACTGTTTTGTTTAAAGAAAAAAAAAGGATTAAAACCACATGATATTGTGACAGGGATGTGCTTAGTTAGACGTGTCCACAGGCCACCTAATCCAACTCTGTCTTGGTAATAAAGGGAGAACTGTCTTCGACAGTTAAGTGGAGAGAAGTCAGTCCACGTGCTTTGCTGACACAAGGTCTCTATTGCATCACATTCGTGGGAGGGGGGGTTACTCCTGAGGGGGGGGGATGCTGATAGCAACTGTTAGCAACTGATTACAGAACATGTGGCATCTTTTCCTTGTTTCTATGTACAAATGACACACACACACACACACACACACACAAATGCAGTTCATCTCCTGAGCAATGAAGGGACATGAACATCTGTTGAATGCTTAACCAGAAGCTTAGCCGCCCGCTTTCTCCTGTCATTCATGTCATTCATGTCATTCAATGCTGGGAGGCAGTGGTTTAGCCCAGAAAATCAACAAGTTTTATTCCCATTTTGTAGACGAAGATTGTTGAAGTTGTGTGACTTAACCCAAATGATAAAGCTGGTGGCCGAAAGAGCCAGGATTTTGAGGCCAGGCCCGGCGGGCTTCAAACTGAATGCGCTCCCCCTAAAACAGACCCCCCTGACCAGGGCCCTGTGCCAGGCGGGGGCACGCACACTCGTGTGTGTGGGCCTTTCTACCACTGGCCCGGAGCGCCGCCCGCCCCCCCGCCCCCCGCACAAGCCCAGGCCTTCTAAGGTAGGAAGGAGCTCGGGGTGCAGGAGAGAGCTGGGAGCCGGGGGCACCAGCCCCGCGCAGCTCTGCTTCCCGCCTGCGACCTCCAGCACGTCACCTGGCCTGCCTGCCTGCCCTCCGCTTCCTTTTCTGCGGAGTCTGGAGGAGACAGACGGTTTCTATCAGCTCTAAGGAGTATGAGTCCATGATGAAACTGAGTTAAATTCTTGTTCCGGTATGGCTTTGCTGACAGTATTTTAGGGAATTTCTCAGAAGGGCACGGCAGGGCACACCCAGTAAAGCTCTGGAGCAGTCAGAGCCAAGTGTCCCTTTCTCGGACCCGACGGAGGCGCGGTGTGGACCAGGCCTGCGCCACTCGCTCCGAGATGCTGCTCCGAGGAGCTGCTGCTGGCTCACCCGCGTCCTCCTCCTCTCTCGGCCCTGTGCAAACCCCGGGCGGACGGGCTCCTGGCCGCCCCCGAGGCCTGCCCACAGGTGGCCGGCCGTCTTGCAGGAAGACAAAACTCTGAGGTAGCGAGAGGGGCGGGGTGCGTGTAGGGGACGAACAGGACACACGTCCCCAGGGGCTCTGGTGCAAGGGGGCTGGCGCTGGGCCAGCGGGTCTGGGCGGCCGCAGGGCCAGCACGGCCAGGGGCAGGGAGCCGGCAGGTGTGTGAGGGAGGCGGGGCTGGCGGGAACACGGGAGAGCAGCACCCCGGGAAGGGAGAACGGGGCCTCGGGGGTTTTCGGGAACACGGACACGGCACCCCACACTGCCCTCAGGCAGCAGGGCGGGAGCTCGGAGCGCGGGCAGGGGCCTGGTGGGAGCCCAGGGGGCAGCGGCCAGTGTGTGGGACCCCGGCCTGTTCCCCCTCCCCGCCCGCGGGTCTCTCTGCCACTCTCGGTCTCCCTTCTGAACGTCTCTCCTCCCATTTTTTTCTCTTTCTGTCCTTTAGTTTGTCATAATGTGCAACTGGTGTATATTAACTTAAACACAAAAAGAAAGTTTTATGTTCTCTTTGGTTACATTTTAAAGTGGTATATTTAAAAGTGAACATTTTTTATTCCTCCTAAAACCCCCCCTCAGTTCTTTTCCCTACACGTGACCCTGGCTGACTTCCTTCTCTGGGGTCGAAGAGCTCTTGCTAGGGAGGCTGGTGGGACGCCTCCACTCCAGGCCCCGGAGAGCCAGACGCACAAGAGGCACACAGGACTTGTGCCGCCCCCTCTCCTAACCCGACCCAGTGCCACGCACACAGGTGGTACTCAGTGAGGGAGTGGCTTCGGGTGCCCTCAGTCACACTTGTGCGTCTCGGGCCATAATGAGCTACGGGCATAAATTCACTAGTTTTTAGTCAATTAACCCTTTAGTAAGCTAAAAGCTGCAAAGAAGGGTGTGGCTTACCTAAAAAGTTTCGAACAAGGCTGATGGTTATGGATTTCTGTAATTAGAAAGAGAAAATACATATTAGTTAATCACATGAAATACAGACAATTAAAAAGTAGCCCAGGATTTTTTTTCCCCCAAAATCGCAGGCAATAAAAAGATAGTTTTCCTCTTCCGAACAGGCGCTGTTGCACACACCAGTGAAGCACTGTGTTTTCACAGTATCTCAACACAGAAGCGCATTCTCAGAAGCAAGCACACCGGGGAAGGGCGCTGTGTCTCCGTCGGACCGCGCGTGTGTGGGGGCGGGCGGTGCCGGGCACCCTCCTTCTCCAGCCTCACCGAGTCAGAGCGCGGAGGGGAGAGTCGCCCCGACTGGACGCATGTCATCGTGGCGGGTAAAAGCTGTGGCATGGCTTGGGGAGAGGGCCTCGCCCACCCTGCCACCAACCTACTAACAACTCGTGACAACTGGAGCCAGGCGTTCTGAAGGGGAAGGGAGGGAACTCTGGAGGTCTATTAACCCTTTCGAAGACAGTCAGCATCAAGGGAAACATATTTATAAGGCAGATCTGAAAAGATTGCTGTGATTAACCAGAACAATTTCTTCAAGCTCATCAGGGGGCCCGGGCTCTGGCTTGCTTTATAAGACCGTGAGACTAATTAGCCATTCAATTCCATTAGTAACATTCTCCTGGACAGCTACTCTACCTGCTGTTTAAAATGTCACAGCCCAGAGTTACAGGCTGCAGCTTCAACTCAATTAAAATGAAACCACAACCCTAGAAGACATGGGGCTACTAGCCTCTGTACTACTGTTACTGCTGCCAAAACACACGCGCAGATGTTTATTTCCCCAGGAGGCTGCTGACACAGTGATACAAATAAGAAAGCCTCATCTACAATAGAAACATGCCCTTCTTTTATCACCAAAAGGATACTGTTATACCTTCCTAAGTTACTTCAGAGATGCTGTTAGTAAAGTAATTAGAATGTGAAACATCTGTAGCAAAAACATTATCTAGACTGCAGGGAAAAGGAAAAAAACCTATCTTCTACTTGACAGGGAAGAATGTTTTAAGACAGTCCCTAGAGTAAATGCTGAACTCTGAACGCACCTCCTGTCATCGACCCGCCCCAGCAGACGCCTTTCACGGCGCTCGACCTGGCTTAGCAGTGCACTGAAGACACGCTCTAGATAGTGTGGGTTTCCTGAAGGAGCTGAAGCTTCCTCCTGTGAGACTCCTTGCAGCACCTAACTAAGCACCCCACGGAGGGAACAGGGCGGCGGCCTCCCACGCGATGCTGCCACAGACGGCAGGAGGCTGGCGGGCGCACTAGCCGGTGGGCGGGCCTCCGGCAGGGCAGCCTCCCGGCCGAGGCTTTCCCGCACATCTACACTGCAGAGGTCCCTTGTTACGCGTGTAGGGCGACTCCACACACCCGGCCTTACAAATCCGCGCTGGGAGGTGCTCCCGCTCCCGCTCACCTTCCCATCCCCCGCTTCTCCTCTCCTCCCCCTCATTCTTTCCCGCAACTGCCACCGCGCCACCTCATCCACCAGGGGGACCCCTGCTGCCTGGGGGCGCTCTGCCTCACGTGAGTTAGCACAGCTTTTGAAATCCCTGTGTGTTCAAAACGAGACACAGATACTTCGTGTTCAAATGTGGTATTCAACACAAAGTCTCCCTCGCTGTGCCGAGTCCAGTCCAGACGTCCGTGCGTGGGCTCACACATTTCGACACATACTACACCTGGTCTATTTATTTTATTTAAAACGTCCTATTCTGGAGGTTAAGTGATGCCAGAAAATTTGTTCCCGTTATCACTATGAAAAACTACTTTGCTTAATGCTTGGCCTTTCCAGAGCCCCGGTTTGCACTTTCTAATAGAAATTCTATTAATTTACTTACTTGCTTATTTATAAAGTATAGCGGATGTACAGCATTGTACGTTTCTGGTTTACAACACAGTGATTCGACACAGTGATTCACTCGCCTGGTGACGTGATCGCCACCTCGAGTCTGGCAGCCGCCTGCCCAGGCGCACAGGAGTGATGGCATGAACGACCCTGTGCCTGTGCTGTGCACTGCACCCCGTGACTGATCTGACAACTGGCAGTTTGTATTTCTCACCCCCTCCCCTGCCCTGCCCTCCAGCCTCCTCCTCTCTGGCAACCATCCGTTGCTCTCATGCCTGAACCTGTTTCTGTTTTGTGTTTTTTATTCCACACACGAGTGAGTTCACACAGTATTCGTCTTCCTCTGTTCAGCTTTTTCACTCTACACGATGCTCCCCAGGCCCACCAGTGCTGTCGTAAGTGGCAAGATCTCACTTTTTCGTGACGCTCACAGCACGCTGCCCGCTCCTGCGTGCGCCCCACCCCGCCCTCGCCCACCGGCCTGCCCATGGACGCAGAGGCCGCCCCCCGCCCTCGGCTCTCGTAAACGGCACTGCAGGGAGCACAGGAGGGCACCCGCCCTTCCGAACCGACGCTTTCGCTTCTTTGGGTAAACACGCGGAAGTGGACTGCTGTTGTGCCCCGCAGTTCCACGTCAAACGTTTGAGGACCCCGTGCTGGCTGCACTAACATCCATTCCGACCAGCAGTGCGCGAGGGTTCTCTCTTCTCCACATCCTAGACAGCGCGTGGCCTTTGCTGTCTTTCTGATAACAGCCATCCTGATAGGCGTGCGGTGCTGTTTTCGTGGTTTTGCTTTTGATTTCCTGATAATTAGTGACGTTCAGCATCTTTCCATGTGTCTGTTGGCCATCTGCACGTCTTCTTTGAAGAAATGTCTATTCAGGTCCTCTGCCCACTTTTAAATTGGATTGTTTGTTTTTTGATGTTGAATTGTTATGAGTTCTTTATATATTTTGGATATTGACCTCTATTGGCTTATATCATTAGCAACTATCTCCTCTTTATTCAAAGTAGGTTGCCTTTCCAGTTTGGTGATTTTCTTCACCGTTCAAAAACTTTTTAGTTTAACAGAATCCCATCTGGCCCTGGCTGGTGTGGCTCAGTGGATTGAGTGCGGGCCTGAGAACAAAGGGTTGCCAGTTCCATTCCCAGGCAGGGCACAGGCCTGGGTTGCGGGCCAGGTCCCCGGTAGGGGGCGAGCAAGAGGCAACCACACATTGATGTTTCTCTTTCTCTCCCTCCCTTCTCCTCCCTCTAAAAATAAATAAATTAAAATATTAAAAAAAAAAAAGAATTCTATTTGATTTTTTTTCTTTCGTTGCCCTTGCCCAGGGAGACATATCCAAAAAGGTAAGAGTAAAGTCAGAGAGTTCACTGCCTATGTTTTCTTCTGAGAGTTTTATGGTTTCAGGGACTACATTTAAGTCTTTAATCCACACTCTGTATTTATTTTTAAAAGAAACGGATAACAATACATTGAAGATAATACTAGCAAACACTTTGTTCATGGGATTGATCCATAATCATTTCAGATAATACACTGAAGGCAGATCATAAAATAAAGGTTGTCTGGTAAAAGACGTTTGTCACGGCACTGTGTTAAGTGGACTCAATGGAAACGGGTATTCACTGCCAGAACCAGGAGATTTCTGAATCAAAGAATCACTACATTATGCTGTAGAATTCGAATTACTTTATCGTGCTATTTCTTTCAATGTAAACAGCTAGAATCCTAATCAGAAACACTATTTTTGTGATGATGCCAGATGAGGGAGCCCTTTCTTGCACGGTGTGCTGCGCATTAACCACACCTGGCATTTTAACCTTCGCCTACCAAATTAATTTTGAGAACTCCAGTGTCAACATTAATCAGTGCACAGATGTCCAAGGAAACCACGTTCTCCCCTGCAGGACTTTGAGATATTAGGCAAAACAAAACAAAACGAAACAACAAAAGCAAAACCTCAACGAGAGAACGCTGTGCTTGCAAACGCCTTTATTTCACAGGTCAGTCCTGTGGAGGTGGGTTTTACGGCTCTGGCCCTTCAGGAGCGAGCTCGGTCTCTTCCCCCCAATCCTGACCCTCCCTCGCCCCCAGCCTGGCCTCCCAGTCCGGGTACTAGACGGCGTCAGGACGGGCTTGAAACTGATGACTTAGCCCCAACACGAGCTGGCCTTCAGGAAGGACTGCGAACCGCCCCTCGACACACCAAGTGTGTCTGGGTCCCAGAAACAGGCCAGGCCCCCTGCCTGTCTCACTTACTCCTTGCCACGCCCCCCAGAACACAGCACCCTGGCCCCGAGTCCACCTCCTTCACGACGTCTGGGCTGACGTCACCCACGAGCAGCTCCCGGCACCCAGTCTGCGGGACCGGTTCGTCCCTGGTTCACAGCACGCGTCCTGCGCTGCCTGGTGTTTCTGTGCACTTGTTGGTCCTCCCCACGCCCCTGGACGGCAGGAATGTATCTGGATACGCTGCTCGTGGCCGGGCATGCGCCTCACACTTCAGTAAATGTGGGCAGTGGACGAGAACGAAACGCTCCTCGCTTTGTTCTGAGTGTCGGGAGGTGCTGCTTGGTGACGCGCTTGAGGTACAGCTACAAGGACTGTGATCCTTACTGCCGAGAAGACCGACCCCACAGAGCAAGGGCGTCCACCAACACGCCTCTGTCCCTCCCCTAAACTGGCTGTCGGACTTATTCTCCAAAGGCTGTACAGATTTAGCAAATATCTTACGTAAATGAGTGTGAACATCTTTGCCAGACTCCTTCAGAAAGGATGCGTAACATATCCTTTCCTTGTGGTGGGAGGTGGTGCTGGCAATGGGGACGGCCGCATCTGCAAGCCTGAGGTTCAGAGTGGTTTTAAAGAGACCACGAAGTGCCACGGCACGCAGAGATTCAGTCGGAGCCGGGTCGGCGAGCGGGTCAGGGACGGCTTCACAGAACACCTGAACCCACAGCTGCGTGCTGTGCGTCCACCCACAGTGACTTACAAAGACACTCGTAACGCTTACTAATGCAAACAGCTGCGCTTTGATTTTAGTGGCTTTCTCCGTGCCTTTCCCTCCTGCGAGGCTGAAGCCAGTGGAGGGCCGGGGAACGACAAACGCCCACGGTGCACGTGCGAGGAAGCACCGTGACGGTCTGCGACAGGCTCACTCACCGATGACTTGCAGGAACTCCGTGCTGCTGATCTGTGAGTCGCTGATGCTGAAGGTCTCCTCTTGTCTCACCTCTCCCAGCAAAAACCCTTCCTAGAGGCAAGAAAAGAAAACAGCTGCAGACTAAAAACAAAGACGATTTTTTACTGGTGTTAGGAGGCATTTAGGACATAAATCCAACAGTGATCCGAATAAGCTCGGCATGCGAACTGCCATTCCACAGACCAACGGGACGAAAGCAATCCGGAGTGTATGAACTGGGTTGTTGGAAAAAAGGATCCCGCGTGAGAGGTGATATTATTTTAATCCCTTCCAGCCTTCCCTGTTTTTTTTGAGGCAAAAATGAGTGGAGTGATTTCATCCCCTAAATCCTACTAAGTAGAACAACTAATGTCAAAAAAGCTCAGGAAGCAGAAATATTCCTAGTTTGTTCTCTTGAATCAGGATACAATTTATGTCATTGCGTTAGAAACACCGCTAATGAGAAGAGGATGAAGAAGTTAACACAACGCACAACTAACGGCTCTCGCATAAGCCGGCATGGGGAGTTAGGGTCTCAGTGAATGAATAACTGCCTATCACTCACATGACAGTGTTTCTTGAGTACACGCGGAGGCTAATTCATTCACACCTTTGGAGGGCACCTGCCACCGGGGTCAGTTCTGGGTTACTCAGCACACAACACACCACCGGAGCACTCGCTGTCATGCTCGGCACAAGCCGTGGGAGAACGGAGGCCCTGAATGCCGAAATAAGTTCCCTGTTACTGATGGGGGTCCTGGAACTCCCTCCCCAGATACCTGCACGGCTCCCTCCTTCCTGCGTTAGGCTCTCTACTCAAAAGGCACCTAATCCCAGAGGCCTTCCCTGGCCAATGTAACGACAAGCGCACCTGCCAGGCACTCTGTCCCCTCCATCCCGCATTCTTTCCCTCCGTGGTCTTCTTACTATCTGTCATGTTACATTTTTTATGAATAAATGCCTATTCCCCACTAAAGTGTAAGCTTCGTGAGAGCAGGGACTCTGTGCTTGTTTATTGCTGTATCTCAGCACCTAGCGGAGTGCCGAACAACTACTGATGCTCAGTAAATACTGGGAGAATAAGTTGATTGACACAATGCCCTTTACTATATACCTGTTTATATTCTAAAATATATTCTCAAGTCAATCAGAGAAGGTTCCAAGTTCAAGAACATTCCCCACTAGAAGTGAGAATCTGTGGGGGTGAGGAGGGAGAGACAGATGCTTTATAGCATAGTTTTCATATTGGATTAGGGGAGTGGAGTGTCCTGACATCCCAAACCATCGTGTACAGGGCATTTCTCAAACCTGAACAATAAAGAGATCTCCTTAAAAAAAATTATCTCATATGTGAAGAAGTGACCGTGACTACCAGTTTGAGAATCACTGACTGAAAAAGCTTCTTTTATCTTATAAAAGTCTTTCAGTTATGAGTTCTCACTACAAAAGAGAAATCTTGTAACAGGTAGAGAAAAAAAATTAAAATTTTTACAGAGCTTTAGACCTTAAGAACACACCGACAGATTCCTAGTGTTCTCGTCTAGAGTTGTCAGACTTAGCAAATAAAAATACAAGACACGCAGTTAAATTTGAATTTCAGGTAAACAACAAATTATTTTTATGTAATATTTAGGATATACTTACACTGAAAATTATTTTTTATCTGAAATTCAAATTTCACCGGGTGCCCTATATTTTATCTGGCAACTCTACTGCAGTTCTCGTTTCGAAAAAGTCAACAGTGACATCAAGATATTCTGACGCCGACTGTAAAGTAAACGCTTATTTATCGTCTGATCTGGGACCATCTGAGGCACCGCCGCTCTATGGCCGGAGTCGGCAAACTCATAGTGTGTGGGTGGAACACAGCCTGATTAATGCCTGTTATTGCACAGCCCACGAGCTAAGAGTGATTTCTACACTTTTTAAATAGCTGAAAAAACAAAAAAGGATTCTTTTATGATGTGAAAACTTGACGAAATTCAAATTTCAGTGTCCATAAATAAAGTTTACCGGAAATAGTCACCCTACTTTCTTCATCATCTGTGCCTGCTTTCTCCCTGCAGCAGCGGAGCTAAGAAGCTGTCAGAGGCCTGCGTGGCTCTCTATAGAGAAAGCTGGTCACCCCCAACTAATTTCTTGCCTGGATGGAACAAGAATGTACTACAAAAGCAAATTCTCGGTTCTTCAATGTTGAAATACATGCAATTAAAATAACTTTATTCCACATCTATAACTGTGTCATGGTTAATATATATATAAACAGGTATGGTCACATCCAATACAGTTGCAAACTATTGTCATTGGCGAAAATTTCCATGACGTCTGGCCACCATGCCTGACACAGGGTAGATATTAAAGAGATGTCTCCTGAATTAAATGAACAACAATCGAAGTAATATGACCGTCCCACTGCCGTCTGCAGAAAAACTTACCCCTTTTCAACAGGTAGCTACTTATTCTCACAATAACCTCGTCCCACACATAAACTGTGCCATTACTAGGCAATCCAAAAATCAGAGGTTAAGAAGCATTATTTCAACAATATCTAGACACCGTAACCAAAAATCAGAGGTTAAGAAGCATTATTTCAACAATATCTAGACAACAATATCTTTCCACAGACACCAGGAGTATCACAAACCACCCATAATACAAGGAGCTGCATTACGTTATGAAATAGCCCGCTGCAGTATCAAAGGCCTGAGTGTCCAGAGACAGGAGTGGCCTCTGGAAAAGCCCACGTTGTGTACATTCTTACCATTAATCTCAACCGCTGGCACTGAAGAGATGAAAGGTACATGCATTTAATGTCATCTAATTTACTAATGGAATCATCTCTCTGTAAGTTTTTACTAATGGAAGCTAAGATTGCTGACATCCAACCAAACCCAGTTTCTTCTTCCGCAGTGTATCATTTTGCTTTGTAATGACAGCCACACACACACACACACACACACACACACACACAGAAGCTGCACCCTTATTTGGTGAATTTGAATAATTCACTCTTAGCATCACTTAAAATAATGCCCCAATTTGGCAAGCAAATTAAACACTTCCTTACAGATAAAAGACTATCCAGTCTCACACAGACTTTCCATCCTGAGGTCAGTGACATTAAGACAAGCCGTAGAATAAAGACACTGAAGCAGACAGGCTCCGCTCGCTCCGTGGTCTCCAAAGCCTGTGCATTTCCGATCACTCACGGGTAGGCCCGTCACTTCCCCATTTCATTTCACTGCAACTTAGTTCCGTGGTCTTGGAACATATGCCGAGGAAATAAACATGCAACTTCAGGGCAAGTAGACCCCCACACCTAACACTCCTGTTTACATTCTCCGTTTCCCATCGAGGACAAGAAAACCCACGAGCATATGTAACAAGTATGAATGGTGACAGCCATGGTTTCCCTTGTCGCACCCCATGACAACCTGTGAGACGAGCGGGCGGGGCTGGGCGCCTGGGGCTTCTTCCCGACCCCGGGATCCCCTCGCCAGCCTAGAAGCCTGACACTCGGGGAGGGGCAGGCGCTCCGATTCCACTAAGCGACCTCTGACACTACCGGCGGCCGGCCGGGCCAGCTTTCATAAGACGCAGACCGCTGTCCCGGGGTGGCCGGGCGGCGGAAGGCACTGAGCAAGATGGGCCCATCCCGAGGGACAACGAGCCCCGGGCAGCAGTAGCTCGCCAGGGGCGGGAGCAGCCCGGGTCACACCAGCTCCTCGGGCCGGCCGGTGAGCCTGGGGCGCGAGCCGCAAGTGGTCCCGGCTTGGCGCGTGACAGAGGCTGGAGGCCCCAGCGGCCACGGTGGGGGTCCCAGCACCTACGTGGTCGGCGTTGCTGTTGGCGCTGTGGAAACACACAGCGCTGAAGGTGTAGCCCGAAATGGAAGCCGCCATGATGGAAATCTCCAACTCCCCCATCATGCCCCGCGGAGGGCACACAGTCTTCCGGCCGGCCTCGCCCCTTGGCATCCTGGGAAATGAAGTCTTCGGCAATTGAGGCCTGGAGGTCTGAGCACGCCCCGCGCGTGGGCCGAGAAGTGCAGGTTTACCTGGGCCGGACGACTCCCGAACCGTGTCCATCAGTGGATTCGCGCCGGGCACACCCCAGACTTCGCATCTTCTGTATAGCCCCTCATAGTTACGCAAGCCATTTTTTTTTTTTTTTTTTGCAATAAAATGATGAATGTTAAGGTCCAACGTTGGCCCTACTCAAGGATGATCAGAGAGAGATGATTCAGGCAATTGTATGGTTTTGGGTTTGATATATAATAGCAGTAGCCTGTGTGATTTCAACTTCCATATGACCATTCTGGCTGCATTGTCAATACTATATTGCCAGGAGAGAGAGAAAACCCCATTACAATAATCCAGACTCCGGGGGGATGGTGTTTTGGGGGGTGGTTAGAAGTGAAATGGGGGAAGCGGGCGTGGCAGAGGGTGGTAAAAGAAGCGATTGGTTTCTGGGTACAAGGGGAGACAAATGGAATGAAAAATAATCGAAAGAGAATGCAAACGACATAAATAAGAATAAGTTAAAGTGAAAATAAAGTATAACAAAGTTAGGAAAAGAAACTCAGGGAAAGAACAAACTCACCTTTCTAATCGTTATTCTTTCATTAGTTCCATCTTTCTGGTTCAAAACTGGGCTCTTGATCCCCCCAAAAACTCTTACCGCATTCTTTCCAAGGAAACACAGTTTTTCGGACAGTTGGGCAGGAACCTTGGAATCATTCTGGACCTCCCATTTTGATCAGTCAGCAGTCTTCAAAATCTGTCAAAACATATGGCTTTTGGGACCCGTGAGCCTGAGCAACCCCAAAAGAAGGCAGAGAGGTAGTGACAGGGTTGAAAAACATCCCCGAACCCAGACACCCAGACCAGGAGGGGCTGCCTGGGGAGCATGAGGAAAGGACAGGAAGGACGCTCTGCTCCACGGGACGGCAGGATGGTCAGGGACCAGTGGGACAGAGAACACAAGGGAGAGCGTGTCAAGAGGCTTGGGAGCTTCAGGTTGAGTTTAATGTGACAAGGGGCATCTAGGCGGCTGCAATAGAAGTCCAGAGCTGAGGGCAGAGGGTGGGATTGGAAGTTAGTTATCGTTCTAATAGTAAGAATGATAGCTAACATTTACTAATCACTGATGATCTGGCAGGCTCTGTTCTAAGCTCTCTACCTGTACAGTGTATTGACATTTAATCTGGCTAACAAACTTCTGAAACAGACCCATTGTAAACTCCATTTTATGGTTAAACAAACTGAGGTAGCATTTATTGGGCATTTATACATCAGGCACATAGGATTTTATAGAAATCATCTCATTCATCTCTACCGCTGCCCTATGCCATAGGTGCTATTATCCTTGTTATAAGAATGGGCAAACGAAGGCCTTGAGAAGCATAGGAACTCGCCCACAGTCCCACATGGTAAGGTCAAGGCTCAGCCCTGGCAGTCTGACTTCAGCCTGTTTTGAAGGCTCACTTAAGAGCAGGTGGCGATAGGGGACAAGGAAGGGTTTTGAAAGAGGATGTGCTAAGCTGTGTTGACCCCTATGGGATTAAAAGAGGTAAAGCCTGGATCTTGACCCCTGACTTGCCAACTTGGAAGCCATTGAGAACTCTAGAAAGCACAGTTTCAGACATGCTGGAGGTGAGCAGGGTGCCATGCTGCAGAGATTAGCAGGCTGAGAGAGAGAGACAGGCAACCCAGGGTACTTGCAGAGCTGCCCTCCTGCCCCATGAAACAGGCACCGGTGGGAGGCACTGTGTTCCTGGGCATGTGACAGCTTTTCCCTAGTGATGGGCAACTCTGTTGGGCCTAAGCTTCCCCCTCCTCCCCCAAGAATCTCTTTGCCCTGAGTGATCAGAGGTGGTACCCCACACCGCCTTCAGGACTAAACAGCCAGAGTAATCCTGGAGCCACAGAAGGAACTCTGTATAAACCGTGGGTTTTTCCAGGCCTCCATACCAACAAGTGTTTATAGCATTCATCACTCACAACGAAAACAACTGAAGTGTTGGCAAGACATCAGATTGCAGATGGCTTTATCTTTCATGGGTACTTCATAATTATAACCTAAAACTTCTGAAGACCCACTCAGTCACATTCAAGCTTGCTTTCGCTAGCATCTAAAGTCTAGAAAAGATGAAAACAACCATTCGCCCAGGGCTGCCCTAATTGGCTGTGGCATCCGGTGGTTTTATTACTCTGTAATAAGGTTACTTACGCTCTTTCGTGGGTTCTTTAATCACTACACACATGGACTCCCTTCTGTCTTTCACTGCATGTTGTCACTGGTGGTTGCCTGAAGATCTTGGAAGGTCTTGTATAGGAGAAGATGCACATTCTGTCCTAGTTGGGATTTCTGGGAGCTGGAAAGGCAACTGTTGAGGTTGTTTACCTCTAGGGACTTAGTCTGCAGAGTCAACAGAAACGTGGCCTTTTGGTTGGAAGGTAGCCTTGCCAGGGGCCTTTGAGATCCTTGCCCAGGACATTGAACTACCAGTATGTCATTGCTGCTGCAAAAAACCTTGCAGACCTTGGGCACGTAAGATCTTTTGCATGGTGCTGCGGACCTAGTCAGCGGCAGTCAGGCCAAGAGGCAGAGGAATTTCCACTTCACTGGTCGTGAGCAATCTCGTAGAACAGTCACCATCTACCTAGGGCCAGGTACAGGTGTGGAAACTGACGCACACAGGCATTGGGAGCCTCGGGCGGGGCCGGGTGCCTGGTGAGGGCCGGAGCTGAGACGGGCATCGGGGTGTCCGGACTCTCACCCAGCACTCTTCCTTCCACAACACTCTGATCCCCCGGACTGGTGTATTTTGGGGGTGGGGTGGGGTTATAGGGCATTCTTTTCTCTGGGCATACATTCCCATGTCCACCTAGCGATGTCCTGGCAGAAGAGGCCAGAATGGTATTTGCAAGGCAGAATCCCAGCCACAAACGGAATGGAATTAGCTGGAAGCCAAGCAGTGATTCCCAGATCTGCCCACGGTGTGGAGAGATGAGTTGATTTGTGTGTTTGGGTTGAGCAGCGCTGGCTTTATGTTTTCAGTGTGGTTTATCCACCGCCAGTCTTTTTCCAAAATTCAGTACCTTGAATAGTCCCTTACAAACAACAGTTCCCAAATAGAGTGGCCCGTTGGCGAGCACCTTGAGGAAGGGCTGGCATCTGACGTTTTGATGGGGGGGAGGGGGCAGAAGGCGGAGGCGAGGCCCAGGCTGTCCCACGTCTGAGTTTGGGTCCGGGGACTTAGAACCAAGGCGGAGCCCGGACCCAGAGCGGGCCGGGAGCAGTAGAGAGGGGACAGCCTCCCCTGTGCCTAGAGGCGCCACCCGGCACGTCCTCTCCGCCCCGCGCCTCGTCTCTATGGCGGCCACTCGGCGGTCCCCGGCGCGGAGCAGCATGATCGCGGGAGGAGGCGCCGAGGTCGCGGCGCGGTCCCACGAGGACAGTCCCGGAGGGGCTGACTTCGCCCCGTCGGCGCTGGGGACCCGACAGCAGTGAGTGTCGCGCAGGGCAGGGTGAGCGGCGCTGCCCGGAGTGCGCCCCGGGGCAGGGGACGGAGAGTGATGGGCCCCGGGGGGTGTCGGAGGGTGGGGGCAGCCTAGGGTGCGTGACGGGAAGAAGCACAGAGGACCGCCTTAGGAGAGCGCCGGCGGTGGCGGGGTTGGAGGCGTGGAATCCCGAGGGGGGGCCCCTTTGGGGACCATTAAGAGACATTGAAAGGGGTTGACATCTGATAGGCTCGTGGGTTTCGGGACGGGCTCTGAAGATCTCGGGGAGGCCTTTTAAGGGTCTTGAACTTGAGGGGCAGGCCTGGGGAGCGAGGGACGGGGTGGGGGCTATATTGGGCGAGGGGAGGAGCCCGGGGAAGATGTGCTGGGCCACGGATAGGAAAGGCTAAGGCTGCGAGGGTAGGGGAGTGGGGGAGCTCGAACTTGTGGGGGTGTAGGGTGACCAGAGCAGGGAGTGAGGAGGCAGTGATCTGACCTAGAACAGATGCTTCGGAATTATCTCACGGGTCACTCCGTGAAGGAGTGAATGACTGCGGGGAAAGGTGAGGACGAGAGGCGACTTGGAGGGGTGAGAGGGAGCAGGGGGTTCTAGGACGAGAAGGCAAATGATCGGGGAGGGGGAACTGGACTTAAGAGGAGAAAGAGTAAACCTCACAACACCCCTTAAGCGGAGCTTCTCTTTGGCGAGTTCCGTTGTGAATAACCACTGTGTTAGTCGAAAACCCTTGTTTCCACACATTTTAAACGGAAAGTTTGGACTCATGTTTGGGACTAAGGGATCCTTGACCACAAATACTTCGTGGTATGTTTGTAAGCGAAAACGTAGCATTTTTGTGTGTCGGGTATTGTCCTAAGTGCTTTACGTGTGTACGCTTATTCTGCTTGTGTATGTCTTTCATTTTTATAAACATGAAGATGTTAGGAGATTTGGGCTGTGTGCACATAGTGATTAAAAACACTAATAGTATTTTTAAACATCTGTCACAAATCTCTATAACATTTGAAACATACATTTCATTCGTAATACAGTTTAACTCAAGAATCTTGCTTTGCATTTGATCATTTATATAGTTGGGATGCTGTCTATGAGAGAGGACTGAACAATTTCCAGGAATATGGAGATAGAGGAGAAATTTGGTGAGTTACAAAAAATAGCGGAATTACAATCGGCAAGATCCTGAGTGTGTGTTATCTTTATCTTTTAAGTGCATATCCCAGAGAAAGATGACCTGGAAATTTTGGCAACCTTGAACTGATTCTGGCTTTAGTGGGTAGATTTAAAGAACTTCTTTCTTTTAGTAGTCCAGATTTAAATTTGATGATGGTGTTGTGAAATGACTCTCTTCCCGTAATTGTCCTTTTTAAATAAGCAATAAAATTTTGAACCATTGATATATACAAACGTTCATGCTGACGTGGAGAAACATCAATGAGTAATACACCAACCTGATCTATTCTTGGATGTGTTTTTTCCTAAATAACAGTAGAGATGGAGCTTAAGCAGTTATAAACATTATCATTTGCTTTCAAAAAAGGCTTAATTGAGCTTGTTGAATAATCTACTTAAATGAAATATAGTTGTAACCTTTGCTCTGTGTCCCTTTGTTGTTTGACTAACTGATTCTCTGTTTCTAATAGGTTTGGGGAAGAGAGTATCAATCGACTGACAAGGTGGATGCAGAGACAAAAGATTCCACTGGATGCTTCAGTGCTTGATATTGGAACTGGAAATGGTGTTTTCCTGGTTGAACTTGTTGGTACTTTTAGTATTCATGTGTTAGAGCCCAATTTTAAAATGAAATTTGAAAAGCTTGCAGGCGAGGATACTGACCAGCTACATCTAAAGTAGCAAAGCAGTCACGCCCTGTGCTTTGAGAAGCCCTGGGGTGGAAGGGGGCTGCCTGGGCTGTGAGAAGGAACTAAGGGAGAAGCCGGGGAATCCGAGTCCTGGTCTTGGTGCCGCCTTGACTCTGACCCAGCTGCTTCATCTTTCTGGGCTTCACTTCTTTCCTGAAGATTTCCACTAGGGGATTTCTGTTGGTTTCTTCTAGCTCAGAACTCCAGAAGTCTTTGTGTGTAAGTAGGCGGTGACTTGTGCATGGAGTGTGGGTGGGGTGTCAAGAGGGAGAGCATTTCAAGCAGCGGCAACGACAGTTACAGGCACGGAGGTTTGCAGAGCTCAGCGGGTGCTGGGCCTGTGAATAATGGAAAGTCTGGCAAATGGAAAGGTCAAGTGTGTGTGTGGGGTGGACAGAGATGAGGACTGAGTTAAAGGTAGGTATAGTATACCACGCCCCAGAGCTTAGCTTTCACTTTTAGACTAAGGAGAGCAGTGAAAGTGCATCAAACAGTGGAGTGAGGTTAGAAAAATTTGTAATAGACTTTTCTGAACCATTGAAGTGTAGCGTATATGTGTTAAAGTGAGCAAATCAAAAGACCGTGGCTCAGTGTATTATCACAGAGTGAACACAGCTTATGTAGCTATCACCCTGGTCAAGAAGTAGAATATTCGAGTCTCGAAGTTCCCCTTGAACTCCTTACCAGTCCTCTCTAAATCACTCCCTTCTTCCTTCCTGAAGGTGTAGCGGGAGTGTTAATTTCGTAGGTTCCTTTGCCTGTGTTGGAATAGTGAGTGGGAGGCTTCGCCGCGTGTTCGTCCTGGTGTCTTGCACAGAGCATTCTGGGAGAGGCACCAGTGGCGTTGCAGGTGACAGCAGTTCGTCCCTGTTTGTTGCTGCCAGAGATTCCATCCTGCAGGGCTGCCAGGGTCTTGTGTATTAGTTCTGTTGTGTGCTTGTAGATTCTTTTGGATTTTAATGGTTTACTTACAGAAGCTAATGATTTCTCCTTTGAGACTAACGGTTTAACTGTAGCTTTAGATTTTGTATGTACATATGTTCATATGCACCCTGTGAAGAATGACAGTTTTAGTAATTTCTTTCCAATCCTTCAGCACCTTTCTCCCTTTTCCCCCCGCTGGGACCTCCAGTAGAATGTTGAAAACGAATGGTGACAGGGACATCCTGGTCTGTTTTTTCCCCTTCCAGAGGACACTGTCAATATTTTACTGTTAGGTATGATTTAGCTTGTAAGTTGGTTTTGTGGATAGCTCTGTTATTAGAGTAAGGGAGTTTCCTCCTATTTCTGCTTTGCTAAGTGTGTGTGTGTGAGAGAGAGAGAGAGAATGTGTTTCTCATGAATCTTGTTTATCAAATTCTTTCCTGTATCAATTGAGATAATTTTAAGAATTTTCTCTTTCGGTCTGTTCCCGTGGATGAACTACATTCACCATTTTCAGATGTTAAATACGTCCCTGGAAAAAACCCAGTTTATATAAAAACCCAGTTTATATATATTACTGGATTCAGTGTGTTGATATTTTTAGGAGTTTTGCAACTTTGTGAGAAAGCTTGTCCTGTAATTTTTCTTCCTTGTAGTGTCCTTTTTCAGTGTTGGTGTCAGGTTATGAGGGCATCATTAAAGGAGAATCTGCTTTTTGACAGAGTTTGTTGGCAAATGGTGTTTTCTTTTACCACGAATGTTTGGTGGAATTCACTGGGGAAGCCATGTACCTTATGGGAAGTTTTTTTTAGTAAGTGAAACGTGAGGTTCACGTAGAAAGGTGAGCAGGTGATACGTGTATAACTTTTACAAAACGAACACCTTTGTTTCACTCATCAGCCTGATGGAGAAAGAACATCGTTAGCCCCACGGAAGTCTCCGGCGCCCTTCCCGAGGGCCCCATCCCCAGCGGAAGCACTGCTCTGACCGCTGTCCTTGAGCGCTGGGCTGTGTTTGGTACCGGCTGTGCTGGGCTCTCCCTGCGGCTTTAATTGTCGTTTCTCTGATGACCGATGATGCTGAGCCCCTTCCATGGGCTCACTCTCCGTTCGTATATCTTTTCTGGTGAAATGTGTGCTCCAACCTTTTGCCATTTTAAAATGGGGCTATTTGTGTAGTTTGTTAAGATTTGAGAATTCTTTATGTATTCTGGATATAAGTTCTTTGTCAGGTATATGATTTGTAAATGTTTTCTCCCTTTTTTTTTTTTTGGCTTGTTTTTTCATTCTCTCAACAGTATCTTCTGAAGAGCAATTCTTTTTAAGATTATGTATTGCCCTGGCTGGCATAGCTCAGTGGATTGAGCGCGGGCTTCGAACCAAAGTGTTGCAGGTTTGACTCCCAGTCAGGCCACATACCTGAGTTGCAGGCCACAGCCCCCAGCAACCGCACATTGATGTTTCTCTCTCTCTCTCTCTCCCCTCCCTTCCCTCTCTAAAAATAAATAAATACAATCTTTAAAAAATATATTATTTATTTATTTATTTTTAGACAGAGGGGAAGGGAGGGAAAAAGAGGGAGAGAAACATCAATGTGTAATTGCGTCTCATAACCACCCCCCCCCGGGACCTGGCACACAACCCAGGCATATGCCCTGACTGGGAATCGAACTGGCGACCCTGTGGTTTGCAGGCTGGGGCTCAATCCACTGAGCTACACCAGCCAGGGCTAGAAGTTCTTGATTTTGGTGAAATCCAATTTATTAACTTTTCTCATATGGATTGTGCTTTCGTTGTCATATTAAAGAACCCTGCCTAACCCAAGGTCGCATAGGCCTTCTTCTATATGTTCTTCTACAAGTTTCAAAGTTTTCTCTTTTACATTTAGATCTATGATTTGTTTTGAGTTAATTTTTGTTTAAGGTTTGAGATACTGGTTGAGGTTCTTCCTTTCTTTTTTTTTTTTTTGCATATGATGTCAAATTGTTTCATCTGTCATTTGTTGAAAAGATTATTTTTTTCTCCACTACATTGAGTTTTGTCTGTTTTTGACTCAATATAAATAGTGTCATGGTATTGTTTTGCATGTATTTTTTTCCCATCTGGCTTCTTGTGCTGAACGTGGATTTGTTGTATGTACACTAGACTGTTTCAGTGTCATATATTCATGTACTGTATGGAAATAACCAGTTTGCTTCTTTGTTTAGTCATTCATTCATTCATTCATTCATTCATTCTCCTGTTGATGGACATGAAGCCTGTCTCCAGTACTGTGTTGTTATGAGTACCACCGGTTTTCCAAAGTGGTCCTCCTGGGTCGTGCCCCTGGCAGTGTGTGGGCATCCCAGTCACACCATGTGGTCCTGTGGACCCCTGGCCTTGTCAGTCTGTGCAGGTGCAGTGATTTTGGTAGGCGCATAGTAGCATCTCATGGTTTATTCTCATCTCCCTGGTGAGTAAATGTGTTGGCCATATTTTTGTATGTTTTTTGGCAGTTTGGCTCTTCTTTTTTGTGTAATGCTTGTTTAAGTTTTTTCCCCAACTAACAATTGGGTTGCCTGTGTTTTTTTTCTTCCTGATTTATAGGCATTCTTCATGTTTCTATATATGTGACCTTTGTGTTGCAAATCTCTTTGTCTAATCTGTGGTTTGCCTTTTCACTTTTGCAATACTATCTTTGGATGAACAACAGAAGTTCTTCAATTTTACTAAAGCTTAATATATAATGTTTTAAGCCCGGGCTGGTGCTGCTCAGTGGATTGAGCGCTAGCCCTGCAGACCAGAAGGTTGCTGGTTCAATTCCCAGTCAGGGCACATGCCTGAGTTGCAAGCCAGGTCCTCAGTTGGGGCTGTGCCAGAGGCAATCGATCTGCTTCCCTCCCTCTCTTTTTTCCTCCCTTCCCCTCTGTCTAAAAATAAATAAAATCTTAAGTCAAATAAAGTGATCAGTGATTTTTGATACTGTATAATAAACCTTTGTTTCCCCAGAGTCATAAATATACTTTCCTATGTGTTCTAGAAGCTGTTTTGTTTTCCTTTTCACATTTAAGACCCAGTCAATTGTTTATGTGGTGAGGTAGAGGTCCATGGTCATTTTGTCCTCTACAAATACCGAGGTCACCCAGCACCTTCGATCGAAATGTCCCTCCTTTCCCCCGTTGCACCTCTGTCCCGTGTCAGGCGGTGGTATGTGTTCAAGTCTCTGTCGGGACCCTTCGGGTCTGTTGGCTTTCATTTATTTATTTATCTGTCCATCCATCCTCACCTGAGGCTGTGTTTGTTGATTTTCCAGGGAAAGGCAGGGAGGGAGAGAGCTGAGCCACCCGACCAGGGCTGTCAAAATAACTTTCTGGGAATTATTTTAGAGAAGGTTTCTTGGCAAGGAATTTTCTGAGCATTTCTTCAGCTGACAGTGTCTTTATTTTGCCTTCATCCCTAAGGGATGTTTTTGCAGAACACAGAATTCTTAATTCTTTCCTTCCAGTGTGTAAAAAATGTCGTCTCTCTTCCTTCTGACCTCCGTGGATTCTGACGAGAACTCGGCAGTCCCTGGACCTGTTGTGCTCCTCCGAGCAGTGTGGCATTTTGGGGGATGCTTTCCAGATTCCTTCTGTCTTAGTTTTTACCAGTCTGCTGCTGATGTGCTGCTGTTTGGATTTCTGGGGGCTTGCCCTGTTTGGGGTTCACCGAGCTTTTTGAGTCCGAGAACACGTTTGATGCACATGTGTGCTATATGACTTCAGACCAGCACTTTTCCCCCATCGTCTGGGGCCTTCATTCCTCACGGCTTACTGTCAGCCGTCAGTCTTACCGTCGGTCTCCTGAGGCCAGTTCCCCGCACTCTCACTCCCTGGGTGCTTTCGAGATTTTTCTGTCTTTAGTTTTCACCAGATACAGTAAAATATACTGGTTTTCCTTGTTTATCTTATGCCTTGGGTTTATAGACCTTACTGAATTTTTGGCGAGGGGTCCATTGTTGATACTGGAAAATTCTTAGCAATATACCATTTTCTCTTCTGCCCAGTCTCATTTTCTCTCCCTTGAAGATTCCTATCATATGTATGTTAGATATGATACTTTGGGCTATTTCATGTCTTCTTTGTTCTTTCCTGTTTCGAATTTTCTATCCTTTTGTCATTGTATGCTTAACAGGGATTCTGACATTTTTTCCAACTGATTAATTTTTTTTCTGTGTCTCATTTGCTATCAAGCCCACCCTCAGTTCATTAAATTAATCATTGCATTTTTAATTTGTTATTTGTTTGGTTCTTTTGTTACAGTTTTCAATGATCTGTCAACATTCTCCAAATTGTTAGTATTTATTTCAGTTGTTTCAAAATCTGTTTCTTATCATTCTTTTATTCATGTCTTTTGTGGGTCTTTTTCTCATGTCAGTTTTTCCCCTTGGTTTTGGTCATTTATTGCATCCTTGAATGCCTGTTTATTCCTCACTGAGTGCCAGAAACTGAACATGAAATTCGCTGGAGATATTTTGAGGCTTTGGATGGTGGTTGTAGAATTTGGGGACATCCACTCAGGGTTTTCACAAGCTCTGCTGGAGAGCAAGCAGGCACGGGAGGAGAGGAGCCAGTCCGAGTCGGTTCTGAGAGTCGTTTGGCGTCCCAGGTCTGATGGGGAAGGCACTGAGGGGGTTACGTCAGAAGTTAATGCCACATTTTTCTTCTCGAGGGCAGAAATATAATATGTAGAAGTATCCTCATTATCTTTGAGAAAATGAATTTCCTTTTGAAAAGGAAATCAAATATTATAAAAGCAAATGAATTGTCACATTCCATAAATTTAAAGTTTTACTTTCTATTTGGATTCTACAATAAGATTTAAACATTGTAGATTACTAGACAGTATATGTTACTTGAGCTATTGAAAATAAACAAAACAGTCCTAGTCCTAAAGGAACATTATATAATTCATGGGCAAAACAGTATATGAAAACTTTTTAAAACTAAAGTATAAAATTACTTCTCTGTCTCCAGGCAAAACTTGGTTTCTCTAATATTACTGGAATTGATTATTCCCCTCCTGCAATACGGCTGTCTGGAAGTGTCCTAGAGAAAGAAGGCCTATCTAACATTAAGTTGAAGGTAACTATTATTTATATTACTATAACTTATTTTTATTTCTAATAAAAGTTATAACATGTAAATGTTTCTAAAGTATATTAATCATAAACGATCTAAAATGAAACATGTTGAAGAGTTTTTCGTCTAGTCGGCGCAGGGAAGTCGTTCCCCCCGGCCCCCTCGTGTCTGCAGGCGAGCGCCAGTGACACCCGGCTGTGCACTGAGCAGATCTGAGCGTCGTGAGTGCGCAGGGTGCAGCATGCCGCCAGAGGCTGCGTGGTTCATTTTGTGATCTGCCAGGAGCTGCTGTCTCTTGCGTTTGTATTTCTAGCTAAGGCATCTCCTCTGATCTCTAGAGTTATATGCAAACTGTGTTTTACAGTTCCATTAGGATAGTTAGTAGTCCCTCAATTAGTCCAAAGTGATACTCTTTTTTTTTTTGTAAAAGCTTTGTTTTTATTTATTTTTAAAATATATTTTATTGATTATGCTATCAGAGTTGTCCCATTTTCTCCCCTTTATTCCCCTCCACCCTGCACCCCCCTCCCACCAGCATTCCCCCCTTTTTAGTTCATGTCCATGGGTCATACATGTGAGTTCTTTGGCTTCTACATTTTTAATACTATTCTTAACCTCTCTGTCTGTTTTCGACCTACCATTTGTGCTACTTATTCTTTGTATCTGTTCTCCCTCTCTCTCCCTCCCCCATTGATAACCCCCCATGTGATCTCCATTTCTGTGATTCTCTTCCTGTTCTAGTTGTTTGCTTAGTTTTTGTTTTAGGTGTGGTTGTTAATAACTGTGAGTTTGTTGTCATTTTACTGTTCATATTTTTTATCTTTTTTTCCTTACATAAATCTCTTTAACATTTCATATAATAAGGGCTTGGTGATGATGAACTCCTTTAACTTGACTTTATCTGGGAAGCACTTTATCTGCCCTTCCATTCTAAATGATAACTTTGCTGGATAGAGTAATCTTGGATGTAGGTCTTTGCCTTTCATGACTTAGAATGCTTCTTTCCAGCCCCTTCTTGCCTGCAAGGTCTCTTTTGAGAAATCAGCTGACAGTCTGATGGGAACTCCTTTGTAGGTAACTCTCTCCTTTTCTCTTGCTGCTTTTAAGGTTCTCTCCTTATCTTTCATCTTGGGTAATGTAATCATGATGTGCCTTGGTGTGTTCCTCCTTGGGTCCAACTTCTTTGGGACTCGCTGAGTTTCCTGGACTTCCTAGAAGTCTATTTCCTTTGCCAGATTGGAGAAGTTCTCCATTATTTTTTCAAATAAGTTTTCAATTTCTTGCTCTTCCTCTTCTCCTCTGGTACCCCTCTGATTTGAATTTTGGAACACTTAAAGATGTCCTGGAGGTTCCTAAGCCTCTCCTCATTTTTTAGAATTCTTCTTTCTTCATTCTGTTCTGGTTGAATGTTTCTTTCTTCCTTCTGGTCCACACCGTTGATTTGAGTCCCGGTTTCCTTCCTGTCACTGTTGGCTCCCTGTACATTTTCTTTTATTTCACTTAGTGTAGCCTTCATTTTTTCATCTAATTTGTGACCAAATTCAACCAATTCTGTGAGCATCCTGATTACCAGTGTTTTGAATTCTGCATCTAATAGGTTGGCTATCTCTTCATTGGTTAGTTGTATTTTTACTGGAGCTTTGATCTGTTCTTTCATTTGGGCCATTTTTTGTGTGTTCTCTCGCCTGTTACATAGTAAGGGGCGGAGCCTTAGGTATTCACCAGGGTGGGGCAACCCACATGGCTGCCTTGTGACACTATGTGGGGGAGGGTTTTGAGAGCGAACAGTGCTGCTGGCTCTACTCTTGGCTGGTTTTCAGTCACTTCCCACAAGCAAAGTGGACCCTTCTGGTGCGGATTCCTGGGTAGGTGGGTTTGTGTACGCTCTAGGATTCTGTGGGTCTCTCCAGCGAACTCTCCTGTGAGGCTGGGAGTTTCTCCTGCTGCCGCTTCAACCCCCACGGGTGTTTTCAATCAGAGGTTTGAGGCTTTATTTTCCTGAGCTGAAACTCTGGGTAGGGCAGTCTGTCTCGCTCCCCAGTTGTTCCTCCTGGTTTATCTGCACACGAATGTGCGACCCCCCAGTCCGTTGCCTCGCCGGCCAGCTGCAGCCCTGTCCACCCCAGTCCTCCAGCCGCTGCCTTGCTGTGAGTCCTCTCTGCCGGCTGCCCATCTCCACCCCTCCTACCGGTCTGGTTGAATGTTTCTTCTTTAACTCCTTGGTTGTCAGGCTTCCATACAGTTCTATTTTCTGGCAGTTCTGGTTGTTTCTTGTTTTTAAATTTGTTGTTGTCCTTCTTTTGTTTGTGCGAGGAGGCGCAGTGTGTCTGCCTATGCCTCCGTCTTGGCCAGGAGTCCTAAAGTGATACTCTTGGCTTCTTCCTTTAACCTGCATCCCGCACCCCCTTCCAGTCTCTCCAATGATACCAGCACTCATTTACCAGTTGCACTAACCCCAAACCCAAGGAGTCGTCCTTGATTCCTCTCTTTCCTTTAAACTCTGTATCCAGTTTGGTTTCATCCATCAAAGCAAATCAGGAATGCAGTCATCCCTTGGTATTTCTGACGCTCCCCACCAGAGCCGACCCAGACCCACCGTCTTCTCCTGCTAAGACAACTACAGTAGCCACTTAAAGGGCCTCCCTGTTCCCCTTCTGGCCACCCAGCTGACTGTCACCAGGGGCAGCCCCCAGAGAGTGATCTTTACTATGCAAATCAGCTCTGGGACTTCCGCCTTCAGCCTCCTGGGGCTTCCCCTTTTGTTCAGAATGGAAGCTGGGCCCCACCCAGCCGCCCAGAGCCCTGTTCCCTCTTTGTCGTCAAGGCTGCGGGCTGTTTCTGCTTCTGTCTGCTCTTGTGTGTCTCGCCTTTCTCCGCCAGCCCTCACGCCTGACGCTCCCTGCCTGGTGGGGGGGCGGGGGGTGGTGGTGCCGGAGACCTTCCAGGGCTCGTTGGGTGGGCTCTTGTTCTTCATGCGGAGATCCCTGCTGTGGAGTGTTTAGAGAGGCCTGACTTGACCTGACCGCCTTTTCCCATACATTTCTCTTCCCAGCCGTTCACCATCTTTGTTATTGTTTCTGTTTTCTTCATAGCACTGTATCTGAAATCACTCGTTTAGCTTGTTTATGATTTGCTTTTCCCTCTAGAAAATGTAAGAGATATTCTTCTACAGTGCACTTTTTTCTTTTGATAGCTGTCCTATTCCTAGGGCCTGCAAAGTTCCTGCATTTAATAGGTGTCTATGAAATATCTGTCGAATAAATGTGTGCTTCCACGTAGGCATTCAGGACAGGGATGTCTTCACACTTGGCTCCTGAGAGTGGCGGTCACTGTGCTGCCTCGGGTACAGCGACTCCTTGGGAGTGAGGGAGGGGAGCGCCCCGCTCCGATGTGCAGAAACACAAGGGCCACATTTTTAAGTCAATGAGGGAGTTCTGGATAATACACTATTTATGATGACTTTCTTAAGTTTGTATGAATAATCACCAGAAGTAGCTACTTTTCAAAGTAGCTTTTTATATGTCTCTTTTCAAAGTAGCTTTTTAGAATTAAAAAAAGCTGTGTATTGGCAAATTATTCTGAGTATTTTTTGAAATTGGGTACCTCACTATTTCAAGTGTGTATAATGTCACTGGCTATTGAAAATGGACGACAGGCTGATGTATGACTCCCAAATTCTAAAGTGAACGATATTTATAAAGTTAACTAATTGCAGGTTAAACAGCTGTTTAATTTCTTAGGCTTTAGGCCATTCATTCCTTTTGTTTTTAAAGATTTTATTTATTTATTTTTAGAGAGGGGGATGGGAGGGAGAAAGAGAGGGAGAGAAACATCCGTGTGTGGTTGCCTCTCCCATGCCCCTTACTAGGGACCTGGCCTGCAACCCGGGCACGTGCCCTGGACTGGGAACGTCAAACTAACAACCCTTTGGTTCGCAGGCCGGCACTCAGTCCACTGGGCCACCCAGCCAGGGCTAGGCCATTCATTCTATCCATTAGTCGCTTTGTCAGCTGCTGAGTCCAGGCAAGAGACTTATTTTCCTGTTTACTTGAGGCCACACAGCTTGTAATCCTAGCTACCAGTCATCTTATTTCCAGTGACCTGTTTGAGTTCCAGTCAGTTTTTGTCATTTGTAAGAACACGTCAAATGCTCTCCTTACCAGCAGAAACAATGGCAAGCTCTGCTTGGCGTTACTAGGCAGTACACCTGGCTTTGATTTGTTTCCGAATTTGGAATGTCCAGGAAATGCTGTCAGTCTCCCTTCCTAATCTTAGCTTTAATGATCTTGGAATGAAGCACATAAAAGTTAGCCATAAAGTTGAAAATATGTTTATTACATGTAAAATGCCATCATAATGAATGGGTACTTTTATCTATAACTTGTTACAGATTGTCACTGACATTCCGTAAAGACCGTGTGTTAATTGTTTTCACATATGCATTGATTTTGAATATAGGTGGAAGACTTTTTGAATCTCCCCACAGAGCTGTCTGGATTTCACATTTGTATCGACAGAGGGACTTTCGATGCCATAAGCCTCAATCCTGACAATGCAGCTGAGAAGAGGGAGCAGTATGTGAAATCTCTCTCCAGGGTGTTGAAAGTGAAAGGCTTTTTTCTAATAACCTCGTGTAATTGGACTAAGGAAGAGTTGCTAAATGAATTCAGTGAAGGTAATTGGCTATATGTTGTTTGAATGTGTGCTTCCCTCGGATTTAATGCCCCTAAATAGGCTTTTTTCCCTTGGCGTTACAGTGTTTTACTTTCCTATTTGTGGCAATTGCCTACTTTTCTTCTCTGTTAATAACCTGGGTATTGCTTTTAACTATACATGCAAAGCACAAAGAAGTAACATTGGTTGAGATCCAGAGTCCTTTTTAAGCATTTCCAAGAAATCCTGGCAGTTAAGTACTAAAATTTATGAGCCCATAAAAATTAAGTTCTTTAGTTAAGCTGTATAATCTGTTACCTAGAGAATCAAACAAAGAAGGCACATATACTGTGCTTCTGACTTGAGTGAACCGACACACTGGTAATCGGCAATAATGCAAATGGAAGTCGTGTTTTTTAAAGTCTTACATGATGAGAGCTTTAGTTTTATAGATACTTTATATGTCTCTTTAGTGGTCACTCAGAGATTGAGGGCTCGTCCTGTTGTTTGCAGTGTGTGTGGGACGATCGTGTGGAACGGTGCACAGAAACGAAGTGGGAACTTGGCAGGAGGAATACCGCCTGTTAATTCCTGAGGAAATCTCTACCTTTCTCAAGGTTTTTGGCGCCAGGACAGGATCCTTTTTGCCCCACGAGCAAAGCAGAATAGGTGCTGCGTCCACTAAGGGGAGATTTTATGAGAATCAAGGGTCGATAATATGTACACAAACATTGTGAGTCCTTTGGCAAACCGTTCCTTGCATGTTTTAGGGAATATTCTACCTGCCAGCTTATTCATGCAGTCAGTGCACAGGCCTTTCTGGGAGAGTCCCTGCGCGTTTATAACTGGGTGTTTGCTTGTTTGTCCTTAGAGTCTTTCCGATTGGGATTAGGTTTTTCAAAGGAATGGGAGGAGTTTCCAGGACGGAGCAGGAACAGTTGGTACGGTTCTAGATCTGTGGTTCAGATCGGAACCTCTGCTGTCACAGGCTAATGGGAAGTGAGTTTGTACCCGGATCACGTGTGCTGCATCTCAGAGCTTGTGTTCTCGGTGGCGAGGAACCAGGTGGTGGAACACCCAGCACACGCCCTTCTCTGCACCAGTGGCTCGTGAAGGCTCTGTGGTGTGAAGGCTGGTGTGTTTGAGGCTTGGAGCCTGGGCCTGCGGCTTCCTCACTCTCGCCTCCGGAGCGCGAGAATTACATGTGATTTATTGTCTCTTATTTCATGTCGTCGGTTTTATTATCTTCCATGTTAAATTTGTTTCCTTTAGAACCGTTGCGGCCCCATATCAAGAGCCTTTCCCTCTTCCTGAAACTTGACAGGTTTAATACATGCTCAGAGTTACGCCGTGTAAAAGCAAGGTCCTTTCCTGGTCTTTAAATACAGGTGTTCCCTTTTCCCCTTGCAACCACCAGACAAAAACATATTTGTCTGTTTCCGATAATGAGGAACAGACTTCAGCCTGGTACAGAGAGCTTAAAGACGTGTCTGGGTCTGGGAACCACTGACTAAGTTTTTTAACTCATGTTCAGTTTCAGAGGAACTGAAATCAGTGAAATGTTACAACAGGAACTTGGAAAGAAATGGTTACATACAGTTGAAGGCCTTTGTGGGCACGCCTCCCTTAGAAGATGGCTTTGGGTGTCAGATGAGACAGCAGCAGAGCTCACTGCTGCGGCTCCCTGCCGAGGGTGCCGCCGCTCGCTCCCGAGACGGGCTTCCCGCGTCCCTTTTGCATAGAGCAAAGCTGGCTTCACCAGTTTCGAAGGTTCTCTCTTTCTTTGAAGCATAAGCGTTCCTAAAGCTGTGTGGAAACGTATCTTGCATTTTTCCTTCATAGCCCTATTTATATAAACATTTTGAGTTTTCATTTATTTTGGTGAGGATCCCTGGAAACATTTGCTAGGTATTAGGATGCTCTAATTTGAGGCCAAGGAACTTGTCTTTCTTAGAACTACTGAATTAAGAAACAAAAACAAAAAACAAACCCCAAACATACTTATTACAAAAGTAATCTGGATTCATTATGAAAAAAATTGGAAAATATTAATCCCAACACATAAGCATGTAGATTAAAATAAAGTCATCCATTATCTATCTCTGGATTATAACTACTTTTAATATTGTGGTGTATGATCTTTGAAATATAGGAACTTCAATTCTGTAAGGTTAGTCCAGGGAGTTCAAAGATCAGTCATGGAAAATTCACAGCTCTATTTTCTCTTAAAAATTTTTATTATGAAATATTTTAAGTATAAGTAAAATACAGAAATAAATATGGGTGTGTACCGATGTATCCACCAAGTATTAAAATATATAATGTTATCAAAGGGCCTGTCCTTCTTTGGAAAAGTTTTCTATGATCAATTTTTAATGCATATTTTAATATTTAGTTATTTAGTAAGATTTGCTGAAGTTTGATTAAGAATATGAGTTTGAATGTGTAATGAAACAGTATAAAACACAAGTTGATACAATAATACATATGCCCCTCGTAGCATTTTTTCTGGGTTAATTTTCATTTTATTTTATAGTTCAGGAGAATGCCACATTACCTTATTCTGGTCTTTGCAGAATCACTGCGAGTTAGCCGGGGCACTGGTGTCTGTAACCCCCTCGCACGGAAACTGAGGGTCCTGGGTAAGGTCACTGGACCAGCACGTTTTCCACCTAGTAAGTGGGAGAGCTGGGACTTGAACCCAGGACTTTTGAATACGAGTTATTTATTTTCTTCAAGACACCGCACTGTGCTACTTTGAAAGTTATTAGTTCCTTGGCAGACCCTTCATTAGTTCAGTTTGGATCTTGATGTTCGGTTACAAACTTTTTTTTATTGTGGTAAAATACAGACGTGAGCAAAAGTAGGTTAATAATAACAATAAATAGCCCTGACTGGTGTGGCTCAGTGGATTGAGTGCTGGCTTGTGAACCAAAGGGTCGCCGGTTCGATTCCCAGTCAGGGCACATGCCTGGCTTGTGGACCAGGTGCCCCGTTGGGTGCACTGGAGAGGCAGCCACACATCACATTGATGTTTCTCTCCCTCTTCCCTTCTCTCTAAAAATAAATAAATAAAATCTTAAAAGAAATGGTAATAATAACAATAAACAATACACTAAGAAGTAATAATACCAAAATAAGCACCGTGTTTCACGTACTCACAGCTGTAACCCCACTTTGGCCCACGCCCGCACATACAACTGGTAAGACTCACCGTTACCTGTTTCTGAGCGCACGGCTCAGTGGCACCAGCCGCACCGACGGTGTCGTGCAGCCGTCACCACCGTCCCGCTCCAGAACTTTCCACCTTCCAAATTCCCTTGTCTCCCCCCCGCGTGATTTAACCCTTCTGTATTGAGTTTTTTGTACGGGTGACGCGGATCAAATGGCGTTACTGCGCATGAAGCTGTCAGAACGGTGCCCGACACGTGGCGAGAACTCAGCACCGGGTAGCTGCTTCCTGCAAACGGGCGGAGTGGGCTCCCGGAGATGCGGAGCTGAAGGGATGATAACGGGAAGTGGCAGAGATGGGGGTGGGGAAGAAGAAGCCTCTTCTCCGGGATTCGTGTTTGGTCTCGTTTGTTCCCCGTTCCGCGTAAGGGTTTTGGGACGCGCGCACGATACGCATGCGCGCTAGGAACGGAAGCTCCTGGACCGGAAGCTCCTGGACCGAAGTGCAGTCGCCCTTCCGAGTCGGCGGTCACGTGGCTTTATCAAGGACTTGAAGGTCCATGATTGACGGTGGCACTGAATTCCTAATGAGAGCGTTTGGATTTTGTCTGACAGGACTGGAACTTTTCGAGGAGTTGCCAACACCCAAGTTCAGCTTCGGAGGCCGATCCGGAAGCAGTGTCGCGGCGTTGGTTTTCCAGAAAACGCAAGACTTCTCATTGGACAAATCCAGTTAGCTTTTTTTTCAAAGGAGCCCCTCGTCAGAGTAAACCTGACACAGAAAGTGCAAGTGCAAGTGCAAGTAATTGCTTAGTAAGTACACAGGATGCACGTGTCGGGCAGAAGCAAGGGTCACGAGCGTGGACGTGGGTGGGTTTTATAGACCAACAAAGAGTAACTTGAAATGCCCTTTTGTATTTGAAATGTAACTATTTTTTCTTTTAGATTGAAAACAGTTTTCTGTACCTGCTGAACAGTTAAAAACTTGAAAGCAGTAAATGAATTCTCAGAAAGTATGTCTTCTTGACTTTTGTGCCTTGGTAAAGTTGAACTGGATATAAGTTTTTATGAAGAGTCGACCAAACTATTCCAGGGCCAGAAGAAGAAACAGAACAGCTTTCTTAGTGTTTCAGTAGAGTATTTATGAAATGCGTATTATGAAATAGAGTATTTATGAAACAACATAAGCCTACTATTTTTGGTGGAATGGTGGCTACTTAAAACAATTATTTAATATCTGAGAAAACCCTCTAGCCTTCGTGTATACAGTTAAACAGAATCAGGTAAATGTATCAGTTGCCTAGAAATACTAACTGAGCGTGTGTTTTGGGGCCGATGGTATTTCGCCCACTGAGGGATGAACAGGAGGAAGTGGAGGGAGAGACAGCCCAGAGATGCTGCTGCTGTGTGCTGGCTCCGTGCCGTCCCAGTGGACCTCCCGGTGGTGTCCCGGCAGGGATTACCGGCTCCGGGTTCTGCACGCCAGACGGCCAGCACAAGGTGCAGACAAGGGCCCTTCCTGGGGCCGGCGCGGAGACCGGGGAGCACGTGCTGCCGAGCAGGCGCTGAGTCTCGGCCTCTGTGCGCTGCCAGTGCAGTGGGGGCAGCGGGCCTGGTTGGTCCTCAGCAAATACTGGTCCAGAAGGTAGGCAGCTGTTTGTAGGAGCTCTGCGGCTCCTCGTGTCGGGCCGATCTGCATCTGAGACTGTGAGTCATCCTTCGTTCCCTCGTTTTCACTGTCTCCCTGCCTGTGTTGAGAGACTCGCCTAATCGGGAACTGAATCGCACTGCGCTTCTGGGCAGGGCGGTGTAAGCTGAATTATACAGCAGGTATGCATGAGCCCTGAGGGACACGGGAGCGCGGACTTGCGGCCAGGGGCTGTGTAGTCAGAGAAGCAGTATAGTAAGATTTTTGAAAAGATAAGGTATATTAATGTTTAACGCTGGGTTTTATTTGGGCTAGTATTTTAATATTGGAGTCACCATGTGAGGTTTTTAAAACAGTAACAGGATACGTGATGATTTTTAGCTTTTAGGCCCAATCGGGCTGCAGAATGAAGAGAATTTCTGTTTGTTTGGCGGACGTTAACTCCAGTGGTAAGTCTAGCGTTACGACCTTTTTAAAGAGTTTTCAGTTGTTGCCCCCGACTGGGGGCAGGGCGGGTGGTGGTTGGATTCAGAGCGGATTTAACCAACTGCTCGGATGACCACCTGCCGTGCACAGGATAACCGGACACGTCTACGTAAACTTTAAATACATACCCTTGTTTGAGAAACTTTAACTTTTAACATGTCAACAGTGAGCGATTAAAGCGCATGTTATTAAACTCAGAACTAGTGTGTTGGTTTTGCACACTGGACGTGGGACCTCACACCGTGGAAGCACACAGTTTTCACTTCACTGAGGAGGTCTGGTCTTTGTGGTTTTTTTGCGTTGCTATTCCTTGATTTCAAATATGATAATAGTGTGTAAGTACTTTCTTAAGAGTTTTGGACTACGAGATACATGCTGTTTTAAAGCCCCAACCTAACGAAGCAGACTTTCTGTGTGGCCAGAATGAGGCACGGGGTTCGATTCGCCAGGAGCTCGGATGGGGCTTTGTTGAAAGGCCCCTGGAGTCCCTGTCGTGGGGGTGTGTTTGCCCCATTTGCAGAGATGAAGGATTTTGGGGGTGGTGGACTCATGGAGCTGTTGGCAAGGTTAGGGAAAGGGGGCTGTCCTCTCTTTCTCCTCGGAGTTCAGACCTGCTGGGAGTCGGCCTCTCAGAGGCTGAAGTCAGAACAAGTGGAGGGTCCAGACATACTGACAATAAATTAGTATTTTCAGATAGTACCATGCTTTGAAAACCAGGCCAGTAAAGGTCACCGAGTTCCTGAAACAAGTCATAAGTACATTATTGTTACACTTGGTTTTGTTAGGTCACGTGACTGTGGCTAACCGGGGAAGAAATGACGCCATTGTAAAGAGACCAGTGAATTACGTAGTGGGTGCTATTTTCTCTGTAAGAAGTTGGAATTGTAATTTTATTTCATCAAAAGACGCCCTTATTTGGGGGAAGCTTGTTTGAAATGCAAACGAGATTGCTCTGTGGAGCCTGCACAGAATTGTTGCTTTTCACTCTGATGTTATTACTGCATAGCAGGCCACTTCTGTGTGGAGCGAGTGGGCGCGCAGGTCCGAAGGGACTGGAGCCCCAATGGGCGGCCCCAATGGGCGGGCTGCACCCATTGACAAACAAAGTTTTCAGGACAGTCCGTTGTGAGCCAGGTGCACGAGCTGGAGTCGCCGCTGGGGGCTGGCATTTGGGCGTGTGAGGGCCAGACCTGACACGGCTCAGGGCAGCGGCGGGGCCCGAACCGTTTCAGAATGAGCCCGCCTGCCCGCGGGTGGTTTGTCACCCCCGTTGTGGGGGCAGCGGGCTGCCCTTTCTCCATCTGGATTGTGCACGCGGCTTTCTGTTTGGGGGCAGGGAGGGCGGTAAACACTTGAAAGACTTTTAGTCTTAGTAGGAATAATGTGTCTCAATTCCCGCACCACTTATTTTTAAGTGTCTGTGGTGCTGTCGTGCAGTGTATATGTGGGCCTCGTTAAATCGCATTCACCCAGAGTGTGACGGAAACTTTGGTTTTTCAGGAACCTATCTTAGTAACTAAGTGTTATATGGCGTTGGAACAATTTTCCTTTAATTGGCGTGTAAAGAAATAAGAGTATCCCTACTTAATGCTAGTAGATTTTGACTTATGTTCTCTTAAATGGTTTTATTTTATATACGTGTGTGCGCAAGTTTGTGTCTGGTAGCCGACTTTGAAAAACTGCACCATCTGTGAACAGGCAGCCGCCCTCCAGGCCCGCGTCCTGCCGGGGGCGGCCTGCGCGTGCCGCGCCCGCGCCCGGCGCCGCGCACAGGGTAGCGCGTGCGCGCGCTCCGGGGACGGCCTCCTGCCGGAGGGCGGAAGTGGCTCCTGTCCCGCGGCGTCATCTCCGGCTGGTTGTGCGCGGAGGTGTGGACGCGCCCCGGGACTCAGCTCGTCCGGTGCCCTTCCCGGGAAGGAGGCGGCCCGTCACCGTCACCGAGAGCTTGGTTGTGGGCGACAAGGAGTGTGACAGGTAGACGGACAGGTGCACAGTGGGGAGAAAGAGGAGGAAAGCTTTGTCACTTCTCTTGGTTAAGCAGGAAACCGAAATGTCCTTAGAAGAAGGGGGAGCACGTGAGCGTGTTTTATTAACAGTTAATTCAAGAAAATTAATGCTAATTTATTCTTCATACACACCATGCAATTTGTTAGAAAAGTGAAAGAATAGTTTGAGATTCTTTGGTCAGTTAATGGATTCCCATGTTAGAGGCATAGAAATGGAACTCGACATTAAGCGGACAAATACCCAGGCCCACAGGCTATATAAATGCTGAATAAAGCCAGTTCCACAATGGAACTCTGAAAGGCGAGGGGTAGGAAGCCTAATGAATGATTGAATATGACCTTAGCAAAATCCCCGGAGTGTTGTTGAAAGATCATTCATTTCCAGCTCCGATGTCAAGATGGGCCCCAGTCACCAGGAAGAAAGGAGAGCTTGAATCGGTGCGCACGGGGCTTTGAGAATCTTTACAGCGCCGTGCGGTAGACCGAATCATTAAAAGGGCTTCTCCGGCCGGGTTTTGAGCTGTTACTATGTGGACCTGTAGTTGAGGCCCAAGGAAACCAAACTGAAAAGAGAGGAATAATTCCCAAGACATGAATGTATCTATCAGTCCTGCTCTTACGGAGGGGAACCTCAGCCGCGGAGAGGCAGAGGCCGGCGGAGGGCCGGCGGCCCTGCCGGGGCCACTGCAAGGGAGACGGCGGAAGAGCGCTTTGTGTCTCCGCGCGTCCACAGGGTACTGGCCTAGTTTGTTAGAGGAAGACAGGAAAAAACAAAACCTACTTTTTCCCTTCTTTCCATGGCCTGTCCTGAAGAATTGATAAATTCTCCTATGTTCTATTTTTAAATGTGAATTATTACTGCATCCGGAAACGGTAAGCATGTTAGTCCATGATCTTTACTGTGCACGCCAACAAGAGCTTTTTAAGGAAGGTGGGTCTAATGCACTTGTTCTTCCAAATACCTTAGAGCGTGCACACGGACCAGCGGTTAGCCTGTGCTGGGTGTTATCCGAGGGGCTTGGCAAGAGATCTGAAACGGTCTGGTGGGATCAGGAGACCCTGGGCTGTACTGACCGCTCTTCATTAACAGACTTACCGAGGGAGCAGTTACTGTTGTCAGTCACGGTACCGAACAGAGCGGAAGTGCCACCGGGATGGGTGCCACCGGGATGGGTGCAAGTCCCCTGCTGTGGCCTCCCTACCCCTCCCAGGAGGGGCTGGTTAGGAGGAAATGGCCAAAGGCAGAAGGAGGAGCTGCTGCTGGCCCACGTCTTCCTCCGCACCCCTCCTCTCCCACGGAAATGTCAGTCCTTTGTTTCCGTCTAATTTTAGTAGATCCTGGCTGAAGAAAAACGTTAGGGTGAAACACGGGAGGACGGTTTCCGACCGTGGGACTCGGAGGGGCGGGGAGGGAGGGCGAGGGCGGAAGCAGCTCGCATCCCGGATCCGGCCGCCCTTCTGCGGCAGCCTCCAGCCCCTGTGCTGTTGGTTTTGGCAACGAACTAAATTTAGATGCACTGAAGCAGCAATAATTAGGTTTTCCTTCCATGTCCTCCACGAGAAGCCTCGCCGGAATCCAAGTGGGGAAACCCATAATATGGTATTTAATAAAGTACCCCGGGCTGAAGTAAAGAGCTGCATGCAAGTTTCGGAAGGAAGACCCGAAATTGTGA